CCCAAGCTGCCAGGAAAGGTTGGCATTAATGAGACCCAAGGCAGATGGTATGATTGAAGTGGGCTCCATGCCAACCAGAGCTGGTACCTCGTGCCCCAATCTGCCACCCCCAATCCTGCCTATTTGGGAGGGTGTTAGGAAGTTAGGCTCTATGGTTCTCAGGTGAGAAGGAACCTAAAAAGGCTGAGGAGGACTGCAAGCAGTTGTATGGGACTTTGTATAGCTCATTGCTGTGTCCCAACTGGAGCCCCAAGACTCTTAGTCTATAGCCTAGCAAGCGGAACCAGGGTTGCATTCTCCCCTGTTGATCTTTTCCTTTTAAAACCTATTCAAAACTCCCTCTGGGAAACCTTCTTTGATTCCTCCTGACTCAGGCCATCCAAGGAATTCTCTTAACACTTATCAAATTATGTCAGCTGCCTAACTTAGAAACAGGTTAGGAGTTCCCAGGCATTAGAGGCTCCCTAACTCTGTCTGGCAAGAGGTTCCCTGAGAGCAAACACTGTGTCTCCATTGGATTGGGAGATCCATGAGAACAGAGACTGGGCCTCCTTCTTCTCCCCTATGCCCCCACAGTGACTGGTCTGGATGCCTCATACACCGCCTAGTCTTCCTCTGCTCTCTTACACCAAGGGTCTGTGAACTTGTGTGTGTTTTAATGTTTCAATAACTAGGTTTGAATATCATTGGATTCCTTTGCCATCTTACATATTTTATTTGATGCCTTTAAAAATATGAGAGTGAATGGGACAACTAGGTGGTGCAGTGGATGGAGCACCAGCCCTGGAGTCAGGAGGACCTGAGTTCACATCCACTCTCAGGCCAGACACTTGACACTTACCAGCTGTGTGACCTTGGGCAAGTCACTTAACCCCATTGCCTAGCCAAAAAAAAAAATACATATTTCATATATATATATATATATATACATATATATGTATATATATATACTATATATATGTATATATATATACTATATATATATACTATATATATATATACTATATATATGTATATATATACATATACATATGTATATATATACATATATATATACATACGCACGCGCACACACACACACACATATATGCAGGGGTAACCAAAAAAATATGTAGGGACAGCTAGGTAGCATGGTGGATAGAGCACTGGCCCTGGATTCAAGAGGACCTGAGTTCAAATCCAGCCTCAGACTCTAACACTTCTTAGCTGTGTGACCCCGGGCAAGTCATTTAACCCCATTGCCTAGCCAAAAAAAAAAAGAGTGATGAGAGGGTCACCAGATTACCAAAGGTGGAGGGGAGGTTACGAATTCCTGTTTTATGCTCTATTTTTTAATTTTATTTTTAATTTATGGAATAAAACAAGCATTTCTATAACAATACAATAAAAAATGATGATTGCATATGAAATTGCAAATCTACTATTCACAACTTGCTATTCCTTTCAAATATACAAAATTATCATGTAAATTTCTTTTTTGTTCCCTCCCCTCTCCCCACCCTAGAGATGGCTATCATTAGACCCAAATAGGTGTGTGTGTGTGTGTGTGTGTGTATATACACACACACACATACATACACACACATATATGTATGTATGTGTATGTATATGTATAGATATACATGTAAAATTATTCTATATATACTTCTACTTATCAGTTCTTTTTCTGGGCATAGATAGCATCTCTCTTCATATGTTTATATTTAAACTGGGAATTTATTATAGTCAAAATAATTTATTTGCTCAAAGTCATTCTTAAAACAATGTTGCTGTTACTGCATGCAATGTTTTCCTGGTTCTGCTCATTTCACTCTTCATTATTTCATGAGCTATTTTTTAAAGTCACAAGTCTCCTCCTTCCCCCCACCCCCAGTCCCTTCACCTCTCCACCCCCCCATCCATGACATCCTTTGGTCCTTCCATACCTGCTTTGCAAAAGGAGCTTTGCAACATGACTAGACTTTTAGCCTGTGACCCCTAAAGACAGCCCCTCGGTAAGGGCATCTGTCCTTGGCACAGATGGTACCAACTGGGAACCCTCTAGGCTAGGGAGAATGGCTCCTTTGTTGTTAGGATTTGGAGCCTGCTCCTAGAATAGCTGTTTGCTCAAACGTGGTGCCTGGGAAGATGGGGGTGGGGAGTGGGCCTCTGTTGTGGGGCTTAGACATTAACCCTCAAAGCCCTATCTGGGTAGAGGGACAGTGAATAAATGATGAGGATAATGGTATCATTTATTCTTAATAATAATGATGATAACTGAAATTTCTATACTTCAAAGTTTACAAAGCACATGAACAGACAAACCTTATAATGACCCCGTGAGGAAGGCATTATAGGCATTATCATCCCCATTTTACAGATAGGGAAACTGAGACTCAGAAGTGAAGCGACTTGCCCATGGACACAGGGGTCAAATGTCAAAGAAATGATTGACACCCAGAGCTCCCTGATTCCAAATTCTTCTTTCTATCTATTAGACTAGGTGAGGGAAGGAGAAAGAGAGGAAAGAGGGAAAAAATGAACAGGAACCTAGTGGATTTCTTCCAGGGTGTTAGTACTTTGGGGTCACCTGAAGTCCAGGATCTGGTCCTTATCCTTATGTGTCCAGAATCTTGGATTTTATCATATTTGCCCAAAGGAAATGACTTTGAAAAATCAGTCTTATGCAAACCAAACTCATAGGCAACCTGAGTCAGCAGTTGGAAAATCTGAGTTTTACTTAGAATCTGCCACTGACTGGACCTCGGTTTCCTCATTGGTAAAAATGAGGAGACTGGGGTAAGTGATCTCTGAGGCTCCTTCCATCTCTGACACTCTCTGTTCTTCCAATCTGCAGCATTCTCTGATGTAAAATACCTCCCAGCTCTGACAGTCCAGGATTCTATCAGACTTATTCATGAACATGATTGCCAATTTATTAAATTGCGATAGGAGCCATAAGTTTTCAGTAATGAGGATGCTAGACTTTCTCACATATAATGTTTCTCTCCCCATAGAGCACCAGATAAACACTGACTCGTTCTTCCCTGTATTTCCTTTTCCTAGACTTTTCCTTAGCCCCCCCTCCTATTAAAATGCTTAATAAATGTTTATTGACTGACTAGATTCCCTGCAGACTCCACTTCCCCTTCCTTTTCCTCAGACTATGTTACAGCCTTCCTATTAAATACAACTTAGTATTATACATCTTTCTTTAAAATAGATATATTTTAAATTGTGATCTTTCTAAAGGACTTTCAGGAAAAACTCTAGTCCCTAGCAGATACCCTGGCCTCCAGGAATTGAATTTCAAAGACACCCTGGTCTCCCTGGCAACTCATTCAGGAATCTCTAGGAACAATTGAGCCTATAGATGACTGATCTTACCCAGTTTCAGAGGGTCATTCTTTTCTAAACTCCTCCTTAAATTCTGGGGGCATTTCCTATTAGTAATATGCCAACTATAGTAATATAACAAAATCCTAGAACATCAGAGCTGGCAGACCCCTTAGACCACAGAATGTCAGAGCTGGGAGGGACCTCAGAATACAGAATATCAAAGCTGGGAGAGGTCTTACAACAGAGAACATCAGAGTTGGGAAGGGTCTTAGAACATAAGAGTATAAGAGCTGGGTTGTTGTCTGTCCTTTGTTCTCAAAGAGGACCATGACATCAGAGAGGTGATGCCATGACTGCCAAGACAATTGGATTTAGTGTGGCAGGGCTATGCAGTGTCATCAGCTTCACTCCCTCCTCTGGAGCCATCTGGGTCCAGTGGCAAGATACAGATCAGGATGATTGAAGATGGCCCCAGATGCAGTGGAAGACCTTGGCTTTTTAAGCTAAGGTCTTTCCCAGGTCTCAGTTTGACTGAGGCAATGTGAATTCAGTGATTAAGGCTAGGTAAGAAATGAGGCAAAAAATGGCCTCTTTTACCTAATAAAAAAAAAAGTCAATCTAGGAGAGGAAGAGGTTTCAGAGATGACCTAGTTCAGTCCTTATGTCACAAAGGAAGAAATGAACCTCTAGGAGGGAATGTTACCCACCCAAGGTCACCCAGTGAATTAGCAGTGATCCCCTTTGTTTCACACTCAGCCTTACCTCCGCCTTTAAAGCTAGTGGATCAGTGCCCTTTCCGCAGACCCCTGGATGGTATGTTGGTGTTTTGCTAACAAAGCCCAAGTAAAGCCCAAGTGAAGCCCACATAATCCCCCTGTGATCTCGTGTCCAAATTTAGCCTCATGAGGCACACAAAAAACCCAAACCCCAGCCCCAGGGCTTGGCCTCCTGCAAGCCTATAAAATCAATGGAGTTTGTCTTTGGGGGCTACTGCCCACCTTCTCTCCTTCCTTCCTCCCCTGCAGGGCCCTCCCTTCCCTAGACACTCTCCCCAGCTTTGGTTCTTCCAGATCCCTCAGTAAGCTGTCATCTGAGAAGGATAGATGAACCAAGTCACACCAAGGTGTTAGTGACACAGTGGGACACCCCCTCCCTGGTGCCCGTGTACTCACTGGAGCTGAGACAGCCTAAAAGAAATGGATTGTAAGTGGTGGTGTTTCAAGCAGTGGAGATAGGCCAGTGTGGAGACAGTCTGACTCAGGGGTGCCTTCTGGATATTGGTCCGTATTGTTCTCAACGACCTCATGCAATGACCTTATTGGCAGTGTGACTTTTGTCAAGCCAGTTCCATTTCCTGGACTTCAGATTCCTCATCTATAAAATAAGTACATTTGACTCAGTGATTTCTAAGCGCCCTCCTAGCTCTGACATTCTGTATTCTAAGGGTCCTCCCAACTCTGACATTTCATGTTCTAAGGACCTTTCCACCTTTGGCATTTTGTATTCTAAGATACCTATCAGTCCTGACGTTCTCTATTCTCAAGGCCCTCCCACCTCTGACCTTACATAGTGCAAGGCTTATTCTAGTTCTAAGATTCTAGATTTTTTAAATAGTCTAAGATTTCACCCCCCTGGAACCATGTGGAAGCCTCTCCATGACCCAACCCTTTTCCCTTTCACAGTGCGGCCCCCGCTGATGCCAAGACCTTCAGCCTGAAATACACAGATGGTGTACAGGTAGAGGCAGTGATTGATGGGCAGGCCAAGGAGGCCACAGCCAATGGCAAGCAGAGATGGGCCCTCTCACCCAGCACCATCCTACGTCTCAGCATGAGCCAGCCTAGCACAGAAATCAGCAGTGACAAGGTACAGGAGCCTGGAGGGTTGGGTTTGAGGCAGTGGGAAGGGGAATCTTAAGGTTGAAGGGACTTTATCTTGAGCATGGGCCTTTACCAAGAGCCTAAAAGTAAGTGAAAAAAATCTGTCCTCAGATTAACCCATAGAGTTTCACAGAACGGGTAAATGGGGTGGGCTACGAAGTGGGAGGTGGGAGGTTTGCATAAAGTTCGAGATTGTCATCAGCTCTCTTCCTCATTTTTTCCTTCTCCCACTGTGGATCCCCAGGTCACCGTCAACTATTATGCAGAGGAAAACAAAACGCCCATTGACCAAGCTGGACTTTTCCTCACGGCTATTGGTAAGTGACTACCAATATTACAGAAATCCTGCCTCTTCTAAGGGCTGATATCACCCATTTAGCATCACGGAATCTTTGACTTTCAGTGCTAGAAGGGCTCTTAAAACATGGAACAATAGAGCATAGAATGTTATAGTTGGCAGGGGCCATAAATATAAACCTTAGAACAGAGAACATTAGAGCTGGGAGGACCCTTAGAACAGAGAATGTCAGAACTGGAAAGGGACCTTAGAACAGAGAATGTCAGAACTGGAAAGGGACCTTAGAACAGAGAATGTCAGAACTGGAAAGGGACCTTAGAACAGAGAATGTCAGAACTGGAAAGGGACCTTAGAACAGAGAATGTCAGAACTAGAAAGGGACCTTAGAACAGAGAATGTCAGAACTGGAAAGGCACCTTAGAACAGAGAATGTCGGAATGGGAAAGAGACCTTAAGAACAGAGAATGTCAGAGCTGGAAAGAGACCTTAGAACAGAGAACATCAGAACTAGAAAGGGACCTTAGGACAGAGAATGTCAGAGCTGGGAGGATCCTCAGAAAATGAATTGTTTGAATGTAGAATGTCACAATGGAATGGTACCATCTACTCCAACACACCCCCCCACTCCTGCATTCTATAAATGAGCAAACAGAGGCCCTGAGATTATTCAAGGTCACTCATCGAGTTAACGACAGCCGACACCATTTTCAATCAGATTTGGCATAGGCAGCTTTTTGGTTCTACAGACTTCTCCTGAATAATTCAGACTCAGCAAGGGATACAAGTAGTGCCCAGTGCTCCTTGGCTCAGGGCTCTGGTGCCCAGGGCATTCTGCCAGGGCGCCACCAGTGACTTCCCTGAACTAACCACCCTAGATTTCTAGTTCTTCATGCTGGTCACTGTGGGAAGACAGAAAGAAAAGAGGGACGTAGGTGAGGACAGGAACAGAGGTAGCCAGACCAGGGATGTGAGGGAGTGTAACCAGAGCTCCCAGGGTTGTAGCCATCAGAGTTGCAGTGAACAACTCGATGGGCATAGGGACTGAGCTGTCTCAGGTAACAGCCCTAACTCACCCTTTCAGAAACATAATCTCCCTGTGACCCTCTTCTGAACAGGGCTGCAAAGAGCTCTTTTGTGGGGTGCAGGGAACAGACTTGGGCTGTGTGGTCTGTGGAGAAAGACTCCAGCAGGTTGGGAAAGGAGGTACAGGACACAAATTTCAGCCTGATATCAGGAAAAACAGTCCAGTCATGGCACGGTCCACGCCCTGAGGTGACATTAATAACAGCTCACATTTTGAGAACACTTTTAAAGTTTTCTAAACCACTTTCCTCAAATGACTCTATGGCAAAGATTACATATGGATTATTATGCCCACCTTACAGATGTACAAACTGAGTCTCAGAGAAGTCACTTGGATCATGGATCTGAAATTGGAAAGGACCTCAGAGCCATTTAGTCCATTCCTGTAATTTTTACATTTAGGGAAACTGAGGCCCAAGAAGACTAAATCTCTTGCCCAAGGTCACACAGGCAGTGATAGAGGTTAAATTTGTACCTAGTTCTTCTGAAACACTTAGTAGCTGTGAGACCCTGGCCAAGTCACTTAACCCTGTTTGCTTCAGTTTCCTCATCTGTAAAAATGATCCAGAAAAGGAAATGGCAAACCACTCCAGTATCTCTGTCAATAAAACCCCAAATGGGGTCACAAAGAGTCAGACACAGCTGAAACAACTGAACAACAAACCTCTGAGACCAGAGGCCCTGCTGCTTCCACTGGACCGTCCTGCAGTTATCCAGGCAGCAAGGTTCAGAGGCAGGATTGGAACCCAAACTCTCTGGCTCCAGGCTACTGTTTCTTCCACTACCACACGCCTCCTATTGTGAAGTGTTCCAGCAGCTTATCTGACCCCTTATGAAGGGAAACTATGGCCAGGAAAATGGTCCTTGCCCTGGACAGGTGGCTAGATGATCTCCCGAGACCATCATCCCCTCCAGCTGTGAGAATCTATGGGTTCTAACGTCTCCCAGGATGTGTTCCTAGGGAGGCAGTTTGGGACTCCACCCCCATCACGCAGGTAATAGCAAGAAGGCAGGAGACATTGAATCCACTAGGATACACAGGAAAAAGTGGCATTCAGAGTCAGAGGCTCTGCATTCAGATCCCTACCCTGATACCACCTGCATGCCTGGGACAAGTGCTCCTCTCTAAAGGGAAGGGGTTAGACCAGACGGTCTTGAAGCTCCTTCTAAATCTATGACCCTAGGATCCCAAATCCCACACAACTCTCCCCTCCTTCCTGCTGTTCCACAAAGAGGCTTGAGTCTTTCTTTGGGGGAAGGGCTTGGGGAAAGGGTGAGGAGGTAGAGAGAATATAACTGTGAAGAAGGGACGACCCTGCTGCCTGAATGGTACTCAAGTCAACTTGAAAAGAGCCAGGAATGAGAATCCAATAAATGGGCCCAATAAATAGCACACACTACCCTCACAAAAGTTCATAGGCCCCAGTCTCCCTCTGGAATGTGACCAGGAAGCTGGTATAGTGGAAAATCCCTGAATTTAGAGGCAAGAGGCCTGGGACTTCTAATGCCTCAAATCCCAGCTCTGTTCCTTTTTACCGTGTGTCTTCAAGTACATTATCTCACCTTTCTTGGTCTCATATGCTTCATCCACAAAATGGGTATAATATTTGTACAATATTTGTAATATTGTATAATAATATCTGAAAGGCTCTTGAGAAGATCAGATGGGATCATTAAGGTTTCCCAGGTGCTCTTGGAAGGCAGGAATGCTGAATTTTTTTCTGGATGCCCCTAATACCTACCACAGTGCCAGGATACAGCAGATCTTTAACGAATGCTGATTGGTTGATCAGTTCTTTCTGGATTTCACAGGTCTAAAGAACCCCCTCCCCCAACGCAGGCTGGCAACTTGGCTAAAACTTGAGGCCTTTACCTTTCTTTGTATCCCTGGTACTTAGCATGGTGCCTGACACTGGCAAGAGCTTAATAAAATGTTTGTTGACTTCCTAAAGAATTGCCTTAAAAATAAATAAATGAACATTTAAAAAACAAAAAGAAATTAATTGCCTAGGGCAGTGAGAAGTGAAGGTAATAAGGAAGCTATCCCTTATAATAAAATTTTTAGAGGAAAAAGTTCCCTAAAAGCAACCAATATAGGGACAGTGCCTCAGAGTATGTATAATACTCTGTACCCATGGTCCTCCACCTCTGCAATTAAGGGAGGTGGGTTTTAAACACATTCACATTATGATAGCACATATTTGAGGCTTTGTAAATACAAAGCACTTGTTTTGCAACAGCCATGGGAGGAGGGAGTACAAATATTATATTTTTCTTTCCCTATTTTGGATCAAACATGATTTCATAAGTGAAGGGACCTCCCAGTGAGAAATTTCCGTTACCAATGTAGACCAGCATATAACCGGTATATGTATGTGTATATATGTACATATACACACACATGTGTATATGTATATATATATGTATATATGTGTGTATATAATAAGTATAATACTATATAACATGCTACATATAGCACGTAGACCAGCTATAACTGATAGAGTTGGGCAACTTCACAGTCAATGAACGTTTATGAAGCAAATACTATATGCCAGGCACTGCGCTAAGGGCTGCAGTACAAAAAGAGGCAAAAGACAGTCCCTGCCCTCAGGGAGGTTACAGTCTAACAGAGGAAACAATGAGCAAACAAATATATCCAAACAAGCTATAGACAGGGTAAACTGGTCTTGGATAATTGTCTGCAGATACTGAGTTCAATTAACTGCCCAAAGTACCCAGCCATTACCTCTCAGCGAAGGGATGTGAAACCAGGTCTTCCTTGACTCCAAGGCCAGCTCTGCCCACTCTCCTACACCATCTTGCCCCTCATTCCCATTTTACAGCTGAGAAAACTGAGGCTCAGAGAGGTCAGTATTGGGATTTATGCCCTGACTTTCCTACTATTTAACATGTTCCTGTTAGGAGGAGGACAGAGGGCAGGGTTATCTCTATGGAGGCCTCAGTCTTGGGGCAAAAGTATGTTGAGTACCAACCTTCCCCCATAGCATTCCCCCAACTTAGTTGTCCCAATGAAGGCAATCCTAGAATACGTAGAGGGTGACATGTAGCCTGTATGAAAACAGGGAAGATCGTGGGGTCATAGATTTAGAGTGGAAAGGAACCCCAGGAGTCCTCTAGCCTAACTGCCTCATTGTAAAGATGGGGAAACTGAGGCCCAGAGTGGTTGTGGCTTGCTGAAGATCACACAATTAATTAATAAGCAGCAAAATGGGTTGGAGTTGAAGTCTTCTGCCTCCAGAGCCAAGTTGCCACTTACCTTGCCTTGGTCATGGAGAGGGGACTTCTAGGCTACTAGTATGTCCATGCCCTCTGCCCACGAAGTCCAGGGCCAGCCCAGCACGATCGCCCTAATTTGCCAGCATTGAACTGCCCCCCACCACTTAGCACAGTACAGTCGCCAGGCCTTCTTTCTGCCCCAGGAAGCTAGAGAGCTGGGCACCTAGCCATGGTGGGGAGGGGGAAGGGCAGATCTGTGGTAGGGTATTAGCACCTTGAGTTCTGAGGCTGAGGAGGGAAGAGAAGGAAACAAGGCAGGCAGGCAGCAGCCTCTCGTGCCATCCCCATCCCCCACATTACCGTGAACCCAATCCCTTTGACATTTCCCTTTAATCTGCCCATCGCTGGTGGGTGTACCACCTGACACCTTGGGACTATTTTGGGGAGCTGACCTAGGAGCCAGAGCCTTTGGAAAATCTCTCCCTGGGCTGGGAGGCCCCAAAGCCAAGTTCCCCCAGGCTCATCCTACCACCGCCTCCAACACAAACACACACACACACACACACACACACACACACACACACACACACACGAACGCACATACACACGAATGTAGAAGCAGAAGAAGGGGGGGGCCAGGGGCAGCTTCCAAGGAGGTGGGACTGGTGTGCCTCCCCCTCCCTACCTCTTCTATATTTTATAGTCAATCCATAATGAGGAGGGCCACAGAAGTCACAAAAATAGGATTGGAGGCTACAAGAATAGTGGATAGAATTAAATTCCACCTCAGATATTTAACTGTGGGGCACTGGGAAAGTTGCTTACCTACTCTGAGCCTCAGTTTCTTCATCTGTAAAATGGGGGGGTGAAGTTGATGGCCTCTAACCTCCCTTCTAGCTCTGAATCTATGACCCTATGATTGTGCACAGTGGTAGGGTGGTCCACCAAGACCAGACCAGTAGGGCAAGGGGTTGTAAGGGGTTGACTGAAGTGGGATGGGAAGGGAAGTAAGTACATAAACTAATATGATGGTATTAGGGAAACATACAAAACAAACACAATAATAATCATAATAATAACAACTCATATTTCCATAATGATTTGGTCCCAAACAGTCCAGTGGCTGGGGCAGGAGGGTTATAAACAATCATTATCCCCATTTTACAGATGAGGAAACTGAGGCTAAGGAGGAGAGGAATGACTTGGCCAAGATCACACTGCTAAAGGAAGATTTCAACTCAAATCCCCTGACTTTGAAAACAGTGCCCAAACCATTACTCCATAATTGGGCTTTGTGCCTTTAAGGAAGACACAGAGGCTCAGCATTGGTAGGGCTGGGGCAGGGGAGGGGGATGGCTGCCTAACCCACCCCTGAATTCAAATTTCCCCGACAACATAATATCCCGATCCACTGTGGTCATCTAGGCATTCCTTGAAAGTCTTCAGGGAAGGAATCTCCCGGTGCCCGGCCTGGCTGGTTCTGCTCTTGGATAGATCTAAAAACAAGTGAGGAAGTTTTTCCTTAAGCTAAGGCTAGATCGCCCCTTGTGCACTTCCCTCCTCACCCGCCCCACGATGGCTCTCAGTACTGCTCTCTGGGGCCAAGCAAAATAAGCCTAATTCCCCTTTCACATGCGATAGCCCGGGAAACCTTGAAAACAGCTAGCCGTGAGGCGCTGGAGCTCTGGACAGTAGGTTTCTCTTAGTGCAGTAAGAAGAACCGTCAGGAAGCTGCACAGGTGGGTGTACAGACCAGACCAGTGGCTTGGGGCTCCCCAGGCCTGGGTTTGATTCTTGGCCCAGCCACATCCTATTTGATCTTAACTAAGTGACTTCAGTCAACCCAGCAAAAAGCATTTATTAAGCACTTACTATGTGCCAGGCTCTAGGCTAAGGTTCTAGGGAGAGAAAGACAAAAGTGAAACAATGCCTGCCCTCAAGGAGTTTACAATCTAGCTGGACAAGACAGCCTGTAGCTATAGAGGTTAGATCCAAAACTGGCAGAAAATATTTTGTGAGGAAGGCACTAGCAGCTTCCTGGAGACAGTGTAATGAAGAAAATTTTTCTTGTAGAAGAAGGCATTGGATCTAAGTCTTGAAGAAAACTATGTCTAAGAGGCAAAGGTAAGGAGGGATGGTGTTCTAGGCAATAGGGGTGGCCAGCAAGCAGACTGGGGACCACCATTTGAAGTCAAAACCTAATCATGAATGTAAATCCATCATAGAATGTTCTGAGACTCTCCCATTTTCCAGATGGGGAAAGCTGAGGCCCAAGGTCACATACCTACCAACTGGCAGAGCTAGAATTTTAAACCATGCCCTCTGACTCCTAATCTAGTACTCCTAACATATCGCAAATAAGAGAAGCTCTCTTATGTGGCTGATAAGCTTGGCTCTGAAGAGTATTCCCAAAGGTCCCACAGAAACCACTTTGAAGGGCACAATGCTCAGTGCACTAGGCAGATATTCTGAACCAACTGTGGGAGAAATCCATCTCTTTGAGAGAGCCCTCCTTGGCTGGCAGCCACCTCATTTCCCTCCTGTGCCAGGACCCTCCTCCTCTCCCTCACCCCTAGAGATGGGAGCCTCTGCCAAGAGGACCGACCCAGAAATACTCCCATCTCCAGGGAGTAAGATGCTCCAGGTCATGCCCAGTTGAAGGGCAAGTCTCCTGGGCAGGAGCCCATGACCAGCTTCTTTTCCGCCATGTTCCCTTCTAAGAATCATTGACAATCAGAATCAGAAGGGAACTTGGAGATATGTAGTCTATTTCATACCTGAGCAGGAATCTCTTCCTCAGCATTTGCATAGCTGCAAAGATTTCCATTAAACTTTCTGGGCCTTAGTTTTCTCATCTGTTAAATGGGGCTATCTACTTCAGTGGGGTTTTATAAGGAAAAATGTTTTGTAGACCTTAAAGTGCTAAGGTGACAGATTTCAGTCAGGGTGGAGGGGTAGTGAGGTCTGGTGAGGAGGACACTGGACTCAAAAGTCCTGAGATCCCAGTTCTAGTCATGATTCTGATACTAGCTAGGTGACCTTAGAGGATTCAATAATATTAATTACTCGATTTTCCCTAGTTCCTTAATGGGCATTCCCACTTTCATGGATTCCCATCTCTGCACAATCCATTCAGTCAATCAACAGGCATATATATGTATAATTTTATATTACATAGCTTATTATAATTTATATTAATTTCATTATAATTGACTTCAATTATTTACCACATTACCATATAATTACTGTTATGATTATATAATAATTATATTATATGTAATATAATTATGATTATATAATAATTATATTATATGTAATATAATTAATTATAATTATAAATAACATTATTTGTTTCATTATTATAATTTAATTATTTGTTTTATTAAATTAATTTGTTTATAATATTAATTTTATTATAAGATTATATATTTATTTTCCCCCAATTACATGTTAAAACAATTTTTAAACATTTGATTTTTTTAAGTTTTGAGTTCCAAATTCTATTTCTCTATCTCCACTCCCCCCTCCCTGAGATGGTAAGCAATCAGATAAAGGTTATACATGTGCAATCAGTAAAACATTCCCATATTAGTCATTTTGTACAAGAAGACTCAAATAAAAGAGAACAAAAGAGAGGAATGAAGGAAGGAAGGAAGGAAGGAAGGAAGGAAGGAAGGAAGGAAGGAAGGAAGGAAGGAAGGAAGGAAGGAAGAGAAAGAGAGAGAGAGAGAGAGAAGAAGAAGAAAGAAAGAAAGAAAGAAAGAAAGAAAGAAAGAAAGAAAGAAAGAAAGAAAGAAAGAAAGAAAGAAAGAAAGAAAGAAAGAAAGCACACTTCAATCTATATTCAAGCAATCAGTTCTTTCTCTGGAGACAGTATGCTTTATCATTAGTCCTTTGGGATTGTCTTGGATCATTGCATGGCTGAGAACAGCTAAGTCATTCACAGTTCTTCACCTAACAATATTGCTTCAACAAGCATTTATTAAACACCTACTATGTGCCAGCCACTATTGGTCACTGGGGATACAAGGACTTGGTTTCCTCATCTGTAAAATGGGAATAAAAATGTTTGCACTCTCTGTATCCCAGGGTTGTTATAAGGAAAGCCCTTTTAGATCACAGTCGATACTCAGATCAGATCAAGGCTCATTTAGATGACTCCAACAAAGGCCCTCCTAGCACTAGCATGGGAAATAGCAGAGGCAAGGGGAAGAGAGTGAAAACCATTCTGGTGAGATGCAGCTGCCTCTCCTCCTAGTCCTAATGGAGAAATGAGGGCCCTCCCATTGCCAGGTAGCCCAGTCTGTCAGCCCAGGGACAGCCCCTGACAGGCCAGAGCAGTAAACCCGATGTCTGTGTCTTCTTCCCAGAGATCTCCCTGGATGTGGATGCAGATCGAGATGGAATCGTGGAAAAGAACAATCCTAAGAAGGTAAGTCAGTACTCTAGTTACCTCCATTCCCTGTGGGGCTTAGTGCCCCAGGCTAGTGGGTCTAGTGACTAGTGGGTCAGTCCACCTCAAGGACCAAACTGAGTTCCTGGTTGTGGGCAAGTCACCTCCCTTCTGTTTGCCTCAGTTTCCTGATCTGTAAACTAGGTACAAAAATAGCACCTACCTCCCAGGACTGTTATGAGGATCAAATGAGATAATATTTGTAAGTTTTAACACACTGCCTAGCATATAGTAGGCACTTAATAAATGCTTATTTCCCCTTTACTTCTCTGAATAAGCCCAATGAGCAGAGTCTTAGTCTAGAGGTAGAGTTCTTGCCTTTACTGTGTTGCCAGTCTGGGACAGATCGGGGAGCAAAGTTCCTGCCCTCAGGAAGCTCCCAAACTGAAAGGAGAGAAATGAATGCATGAATGTATGCATGAATGGATGAATGTTTTTTTCCTTCAAGTATAGTAACTATTCCTGGCACTGTCCTTGGTGCTAGGATACATATTTTTTAAAAAACTGGTCTCTGCCCTCAAGAAGCATATATTCTAAAAGAGCAAATGAGGTACCATGTACAGTGTTTTGCAAACCTTAAAGTGCTGTATAAATGCCAGCTATCATTTTTATTTCTAGACATTACTTCTAAATTAAGAAGGGGAAGGGCTGTCCTATGTATGGGGAGGCCTGGCATGAAGATGGCCAGAGAGCAGAATGCTGGGTCTGGGTCGGGGAAGATATGGAATGTCCTCACCAATGAAGAGCCCTGGGCCCCAGGGTGGGTGCAAGGGGGCTGAGTCAGAGACATAGTCTAGATGGGAGGTATAGACTAAAGATGGTCAGTCCCTGACCTCAGGGAGCTCCCAGATTGAAGAAGGAAAATATAATCCCTGTCTTCAGGGAGCTCCCATTTTACAGAGGCAGAAACCAGACCCAGAAGATGTTAAGTAAAGATCCCAAGGTAAATCAGTAGTAGAAGTAGAATTAGACCCCAGATCTCCAGAACACCAGGTCCAGTGCTCTCCCGGCCATCTCTCTATCTTCCCACCCCACCTAAACACCAAGGAGTGAAAAGGTCACAAGACTGTTAGGAATGAAAGAAAGCACAGACCCCAGGGACAGTGCTGCCCTTTCCAATTTAGCACCCAATAAATCGTGCTTCCCAGAGTCAGCCAAAATAGAAACTTGCCCTGTAAAAAGCCTCATTGTCTAGGTCTCGAGCCAGAACACATTAAAAGAAAGCCTGTCTATGTAACCCTAAAGCACGGTGGATTGCTGAGTGGGGAGTGGGAGGCAAGGGCCTATGTCCAAGTCTTTCATAAATGGGCTATGTGACCTTGGGTGTATCACGCCCCCTCTCCTGGACTCCATTTCTCCATATAGACAAGTGGTTGATGAACTTTTTCATCTCATGATCTCCCCCTGACAGCTTCTGTGCCTTCCCTGTTCCCAATAAAAGAAAACCATCTGACAGGCCTGCCTTCCTGAGGCAGGAGGGGGACATCTGCACTATACCAGGCAGGGCCAGTCCCCTGGGGTTGGTCCCTACTACTATAAAATTGCTGGGGGCTCACACCCCTAATACTCCCTCCCCTCTAGGCTAGGAACCACAGGCCCCACTGACTTATATAGGATCTAGATTCAAAATTCCACCTACTTATACTACCTTGGACTCTCTGAGCTCCAGTTTTGTCTTCTATAAAATGAAAAGATTGGAACACGATTGTACTATAAGAAATGATGAAGGGGCAGGTTTTGAGAAGCCTAGGAAGATTTGTAGGAATGATACAGAGTGAAGGGAACAGAACCAGGAGAACAATGTATACAATAACAGCAACATTGTAAAGATAGGTAACTTTGAAAGACACAAGAACTCTGATCAGCTCAATGAGCAACCATGATGCCAAAGGAATCATAATAAAACATGCTGTCTAGCTCTTGACAGAGAGGTGATGAACCCAGGGTGTAGATGGAGACATTTTTTGGACATGGCCAATATGGGAATTTGTTTTTCTTTACTTAACTTCTTATGTTTGTTACAAGATTACTGTTTTTTTCTTTCTTTTTCGATGGAGGTGGGGGAGTAGGGGTGGGAGTGGTAGAAAGGGAGAATGTGAATTTTTCTTAATTGAAAAACAACTAAAAAAAATAATAAAATGAAAGTGTTGGAGGACTTCCAAGGTACCATTCAGTGCTGAATCTATGAACCTGTGGTGCCTGGACAGAAGTTTCCCCTTTTAGTTCAGCTCCCTGTCTTTTCTTGAACCAAATCTCCTTCTCCAAGAGGAGGTATTAGAAAAGCTTGCCTAAGCCCCTTGCTCCCATGAGGCAATGAGGTAACACAGTGATGTCGGGGGAAAGGGGAAGGGAATCATTAGTTTTACAGTCAGAAGAGACCTAACTTCAAATCCCTCCTCTGACACTAGCTATGTAAATCACAGGTGAATCACTAATGGCAAGTCAATGGGCCTCAGTTTCCTCATCTATAAAAAGCACATAATACCTGTAATACCTGCTACATAGGGTTGTTCAGTGAACCACTGAGACTTCATTAAGCACCTAGTATGTGCTAGGTACCATGCTAAACCCTGGGAATGCAAAGACAAAAGAGAAAGAGTTTCTGACATTCAGGAGGGCTTACATTCTAATGATTATGAGAATCAAGTGAAATGAAATGCATAAAATGTTTTTCAAAATGTGAAAACTATTTGTCAGCCACTTTAGGGGTCCAATTCTGTAATTTCATTGCTGTAGGAAGCTAATTCCCTCCACAGATGCCTGGGAATTGAGCCCAGTAGATCTCCTTTAAGGGTTCAAGATAACAGCCCAGGGAGTTCAAGCTAAAAATTCTTCAATGGCGCTTTAAGCAGTAAATAATTGCCCAGTTGTGTTGTACCTTTATTTTTACTAAAAAGTGTTATTTACATCCAACAAAATTTGTGAAATACAGTAATTTAATGAAGTGAGCATATGGGGTCTTGCTGGGATTGCTTCTTTTTAATTCTTGCAGAATATCCCAAATAAAATATTTGTAATTATTTTCTAATTAGAGCATTATAATTTTATAGTTAGAGTTTTCATAATTATAAGTAGGATGAAATTTTCTATTTTATAATCATACGGATATAATGTAAATTTTATTTTTTCACTTTGGGGGCAAAAGCAACTATTGCAGTTATTGTAAGCACCTAATGAATAAAACTAAAAGAATATCATAAGTAGTATGCTAAATTACCCTGAGAGTTAACAACACATTTTGTGGCTGTTCTTGAAATGGGATCCAAGAATAAAAACCTTGGGCATCACTGCCAACAGCTAGTTTAGTTTAGATTACAGATTATCAGGTGGGGTTTGAACTGGGGTCTTCTGAATTCCAAATCCTGCCCTCTATCTACCATGTTCCAAATGAAGTCCCCAAAGAGTACTATTATTTATTAATAATAAGGGAGAAAACTTGGCATAGTGGAAAGAATAGTAGATAGTCAGAAGATCTGAATTCAAGTTTAGGCATGACACCAGCTGGCTGCGTATATTGACCAAGTCATTTAACGTCTCTGATCCTCCATTTTCTCACTTGTAGAGAGGCTGTTGTTTTTGTTCAGTCATTTCAGTTGTGTCTGATTCTTCGTGACCCCATTTACAGTTTTTTTGGCAGAGATACTAGAGTGGTGTACTGTCTCCTTCTCCAGCTCATTTTACAGATGAGGAAACTGAGGCAAACAGGATGAAGTGACTTGCCCAGGGTCACATAGCCAGTAAAAGTCTGAGGCCAGATTTGAACTCGGGTCTTCCTGACTCCAGGCCTGGTGCTCTATCCACTGCAGTGCCACCTGACTGCCCATAGAATGAAGGGTTTGAGTTAAAAGAATTCCAAAGCCCCTAAGTCTGACATTCTGTGTCTATGGTGCTGTAAGGACAGCTGCTAATTATAGTTGACAGTTTATGAAGGTCTTTCCCATGTATGAGCCTTACATTAGCCCTGGGAGGTAAAGTTATCTTAAAATCCCCATTTGACAGATGGGAAAACTAACTTGACAGTGGATAAGTTGTTTTTTTCTGAGATTATACAGTACACAGCAGAACTAGATTTGAACCCAGGACCTTGAACTTCTGTGTATTATTGCTTGTCTCTGTGGCCCTTCTTCCCCTCCCCCACAGCTGTTCCCCATGCCTGGCATGAACTCTCTTCTCTTCTACCTTTTGGAAGGCTTAGTAGTCTTCAAAGCTCAGCTCAGATGCCACCTCCTTTCCTAATCCCCCAGCTACTAATGCCTCCAAAATACCCTATATCCTATTATCCTGTACATACTTAAATGTGTACATGTTATCTTCCCCGATAAAAAGTAAGGTCCTTGAGGTCAAAGACTTTCATTTTGTCTTGGCATCCCCATGGCCTAGTACAATGTCACATACAGTGTAGGAGTTTTCCAAATGCTTTTGGACTGAATGATTAGGGTAGGTATTATTAGTTCCATTTTATAGATGGGTAAACTGAGGCCCAGAGCTTTGGTCACTCGGCTACCTCCAGAACCAGGATTTGATCTCGAGTCTCCTGGTTCATTCATCACACTGCTGCTAGGATGCCCTTCGTCTCTAGCTTAGTCTATGCTACCTCTCAGTGCCTAGGGTGGTAAAATAGAGCTGGAGCTGACCCACTGACCCTACCTCTGCCCTTCATACTCCAGCCAACCTGGGACCTGGGACCCACAGAGATGACTCTTCTCAAAAGCAGTATGTGTTATGGAAAGAGCACTGGGTTGAAAATCAGAGCTTAGGTTCAAATCACAATCACTTTTCCTGCTCTGTGCCTCAGTTTCCTCCATTGTAAAATTAAAGAATTGATCTAGATGACTCTAAGGTCCTTCTGGCTCTAAATCCTATGAAATCTCCCTATTCATGGGTATCACAAGACATGTGTTGTAGGTCTGGGGGAGTCAGCTGGTATTGGCCTTCCAGGGGGCAAGAGGAACAGAGTTTGCTACTCACATGTTGGCCTGGCTTCCTTCATCTACAGGCATCCTGGACCTGGGGCCCTGATGGCCAGGGGGCCATCCTCCTGGTGAACTGTGACAGGGAGGTCCCCTGGTTGCCCAAGGAAGATTGCTCTGATAACAAGATCTACACCAGAGAAGGTATTAGGGATGGCTCCAAGGGGTCCTTTGGGCGGGGTGAGTAACATGTTCACTGGGGATAGGAGAAGGGAAAGATGCCATCTTTTTTTCCCCTTTTTCTTGGGAGCCAAAAGGGAACAGAAGGGCAGCGTGAGATAGCTGTGCCTGGTTACCCTGCTCTGAACAGATATGGCATCGACCTCCAACTTGTAATTCCTGAGGAACGAGAAGGGTGGAGGGCACAGGGCCAAGGGACCCTGACAACATCCCCATTTCACTGATCCTCTGTCCTCCTTGTCACTCTGCAGACCTAAAGGACATGTCTCGGATGATCCTGAGGACCAATGGCCCCAGTCAGCTCCCAGCAGGCTATGAGATGGTTCTCTACATTTCCATCAGCGACTCAGACAAAGTGGGCGTATTCTATGTGGACAGTGAGTGTGACCCCAGCCTCCTAGTCCACACCAGTTCCCACACTCACAGCCCCAGATCTCCCTCTAGACAACTACTCAAGTCAACTTAAATTTACTGAGCAGCTCCCTTAGGCCCAGCCCTGTGCTGGCCATATGCCCTGACCTCAAGGAATTCAATCTATTGTAGCTAGCAAAATCCAACTTACCTGTATGAAAGAGCTAAATAGGAAAGGGATGGCAGGATATAAACCAAGGGCTGATCCTTAGAACACAGGATGTCGGGGCTGGGAGGGTCCTTAGAACACAGGATGTCAGGGCTGGGAAGGCCCCTAGAACACAGGATGTCAGAACTGGGAGAGCTCTTAGAGCCCAGAATGTCAGGTCTGGGAGGGCCCTTAGAACACAGGATGTCAGGGCTGGGAGGGCCCTTAGAACACAGGATGTCAGGGCTGGGAGGGCCCTTAGAACACAGGATGTCAGGGCTAGGAGGGCTCTTAGAGCCCAGAATGTCAGGTCTGGGAGGGCCCTTAGAACACAGGATGTCAGGGCTAGGAGGGCTCTTAGAGCCCAGAATGTCAGGGCTGGGAGGGACCTTAGAACACAGGATGTCAGAGCCGGGAGTCCTTAGAACACAGAATGTCAGGGCTGGGAGGGCCCTTAGATCACAGGATGTCAGAGCTGGGAGGGCTCTTAGAGCACACAATGTCAGGGCTGGGAGGGTTCTTAGAACACAGGATGTCAGGACCCTTAGAACAGAGAGCCAGAAATCTGCCTCTGATAATTTACAAGTCAGTTCATCTCCTTTGAACAAGATGAGTATGTAGAGAAACATCCAAGTACTCAATTATGTTAATGAAATGAAAGCGCAAGCATAGGGGAAAGACTTTCTCTGTCACCACTGGGGCCAGACTATACTTGTCAAAGGGTGTGTTGGGCAGGACTCCTGAAGCTACAAAGGCCTAAAGGAAGTTAGGTGGCACAGTTGCTATGGCACTAGACCTGGAGTCAGAAAGGTCTGAGTTCAAATCCAGCCTCAAACACTTACTATGTGACCTTGAGCAAGTCATGTTACTTTTGTCTGCCTCCGTTTGCTCAACTTTAAAATGAGAATAATAATAGCATTCGACAGAATTGTCTTGGTAAAGAGCTTAGCATAATAGGAGCTTAATAAATGCTTGTTTTCTTCCTTCCTTTCACCCTAAGCCCCCTCCTCTGGTAAGTTCCACTAATTCACTGAAGGCTAATACCGAGAACATTCTCAGAACCTTCCAAGAACCAGAGGTACCAGCCAGCCCTGTGATCACAGACAAGGCCCTTCCCCCCTCTGGCTCTTAGTTTCCTCCTCTATAAAATGAGGAGGGTTAGAATGCGTATTTTCTGAGGTCCAGCTTGCACATTCTGTGATTCTATAGCCAGGGCTAAAGACCTACCTGGGCAAGCCCAGGCTTACTGGGGGGCATGCAGAGGGCAATGCCAAGTGTCTGCCGCCGTCCTGATTCACCCTCCACTCCAGCCAGCTCCCAGGGTGGTGACCCTAGAGGTTGTCAGAATTCCTCTGGGGGCTAAGCTGACCCTACTGTCCACCCTGGGCCAGAGCTGTTGATGTTTATCCTGTTCTGGGCCAAGTTGCCATGAGGATACGGCAATTCTTGGGTACAAGAGGGGATGCCTGTAGACCCTGGGCTCAACTGCCCCCTGCTGCACAGAGGATTGGGAAGATGGAGGGAATCTGCTCTCCTAACCCTTGGGGGTAGGGTAATACTGGGCTGATTGCCTGAACTAGACGGCCTTGCTTCCCAGAGGGTTCAGGGGTGGTTCCCTACCATTTCCAGCCTTCGCCTAACCAAGGCAGGGAGCTTTAGTGGAGAGGTCACTGGTCTTAGAATCAAGATCTGTGTTTGTATCTTACCTCTAACCCTCAGTAGCCGTGTGACCCTGGGCAAAGCCTTTAACCTCCCTTCCTCTATTTTCTCATCTATGAAGTGAGGGGCTAGACCCCATAGCCTCCAAAGGTCTTCCCAGCTCAAAATCTGACATTGTGAGCACAACTCCATCTACTCAGGTCAGGTCCAAGGTTATTGGCAGGTGGTCTTCTGCGTTAGAATGTGAGCTCCTTGAGGGCAGGAATCATATTTTTGCCTTTCTTTGTATCTTCAGCATTTAGCACAGGGCCTTGCAAATCCAGTCCAGTCCACCAGTGTTTATTAAGTGCTTACTATGTGCCAAGGTGCAGCAGATAGAGGGCCTAGCCTGGGGTCAGGAAGACCTGAGTTCAAATCCAGACTCAAAGTTACTAAGTTACTTACCAACATGGCAAAGCTTAGATGGGAAGCCAGGTCCTCTGATGCCAGATTCAGCCTTCTGTGCTAAAGGCACACACTGAGGCAAATAGGGTGAAGTGACTTGTCCAGGGTCCTACAGCTAGTAAGTGTATGCGGAGGGATTTGAACTCAAGTCTTCCTGACTCTAGGCCTGGCATTCTAGCCACTGTGCCACCTTGCTGCCTAATGTAGCACCTACTAGGTGCTAAGCCTTTACAATTATTATCTCACTTGATCCCTACCACAACCCTGGGAGATAAGTGCTATTATTATCCTCATTTTACAGGTGAGGAAACTGAGGCAGATTGAGATTTAAGCGACTTGCCCATTTGCTAGTAAGTGACTGAGGCTACATTTGAACTCAGGGCTTCCTGACTCCAGGCACTCTATCCATTGCACCATTCAGCTGTCCCCATGGAGGACTTGGATTACTAAGAAGTTCGCTTTTTACCCTATGGAGAGTAGGGAGTTACTATCAACATTGAGCTTCAAGTATTTAGAATGTGTTTATCACGCTTGCTTAGAAAGTAGAAGATGGACATCAAAAACATACTTTGCATTAAATTAGTCGCAGTCAGAGTGCAAGGTTGTTTCCTCAATCATATACACCCTTGTCACACACAGACTCAAAAGCTGGGATCCATCTTCATTTTCTTAGATGTTTGCAGAGCTGACCTCTCCAGGCTGCTTAGCATCTACCCAGAAATAGGAGACATAACATCCAATAGGAAGAGCATTGGCTTTGGAGTCAGAAGGCCTGAGTCCAAATCCAGGCTCTTGTGTGACCTTGGACAAGTCATTCCCAGCTGTGAAATTGGAGGGCTGACTTGAGTAATCCCCAAGGTATAACCTCCATCCCTCCACGCTGTGATCCTGGGACCAGAGCCAGCTGATGGAGAACAAGGCAGGCGACTCAGGTTGACCTCCAACTCTGGCTCCAGGCCAGAGGCCCCGTGATATGGGGCAGCTCCACAGAAGGGCACTGTTGGTCTCTGCTGGGAAAGAGAGCCAGCAGGGAATAAGTAGGAGGGTTCTGGTGGAGAGGTGGGGGCTGGGCTGCTCCGGACAGTACGGAGAGATTGTCCCCAGCGGTGTACATCTGCCTGCACAGTGGCCAAGGGCCCTGAAAGAAAAACAATATTAAGATTCAAAGGCTCAGGTTCTGGCCCCGGCCACTTAGGGAGGGAGCAAGGGCCACAGATGGATTAAAACCCAACGGCTGTGGCCCTACCTTGCCTGCCCAGCCCAATGCCTGGCTTTCTTCTCTAGGCATCCTTGGCCTCTCCCAGGGAAAGCAGCCATTCATCTGAGGATCTGGTGTCTACAGTGGACATGACTCAGCTTTCTTTCCCCCCTCCCCGCCCTCTGACCTTTGGAGTTGGAGGTTTCCCCAGAGTATCACTGGAAACGTCGCTGAGAGCATGAGTACGAAGTCTGGCAGCACCATTGTGCCTATGGTAGGATTGGTAATTGCCAGGATTAGCCAGGCCTTAGCACCTTTGGCCAAAATAATTCAGTGGGTGGCCAAGGTGGAAAGGATGATGGAACATAGAAAGTTGAAACCCAGATTGTCACCACTGAGAGAGGCCTTAGAGCATCACCAGGCATCAGAGCAGGAAGAGGCCTTCAGGCACAAAAGGCCAAAGTAGAATCAGGGAGTCCGGAAAGCCCTCTGTCCTCACCTCCTTCTCCTGGGATTTCCTGGCTCTCTGGAACTTTCACCTCAAGCGGCAACTCCTCCCAGAGACCTTTCCTGATCCTCCCAAGCCATGGGCTCGTAAGCTTTTAAATCTACAGCTAGAAGGGTCCCTAGAGGTCACTGAGTCCTGACCACTCATTTTAGGCAGCTGGTGGTACAGTGGACCTGGAATCAGGAAGACCTGAGCTCAAATCTGACCCCTGACACTTACTAGTTGTGTGAACTTGAGCAAGTCATTTAACCTCTATCTTCCTCAGTTTCCTCAACTGTAAAATGTAAATAATAATAGCACCTACTTCCCAGGATTGTTGTGAGGCTCACATGAGATATTTATAAAGTGCTTAGCACAATGTCCAAAACACAGTAGGCACTTAATAAATGTTTGCTTCATTTCATTTTTTCAAATGAGGCACAGAGAGGTTAAATGATTTGTTCACTTAACTTGAAAGTGTCTGAGGCAGAATTTGAACTCAGGTCCAAGTACATTGGCTCTATTCACTACTCATCAACTAGCTGCCCTAGTTGTTGGTAGTGCCAAGAACCCCACCTCCAATAACAGTGTGTTTATGTTGTATCTTTCCCTATCTGTGAACAGGATGTGCCACCCTCACCCCACCCCCCAGTAGAATGTAAACTCCTAGAGGGCAGGTATTGTTTCACTTTGGTGTCTGTATCCCTAGTGCCCAGCACAGTGCTTGGCATGTTTTGTTTTGTTTTTTTTGCTGAACCATATTCATAAAGACATGAATGAATGAATTTATATATATATATATATACACATACATGCACACATATGTAGAGATAGATGGATAAATAGGGAAACAGAGAGGGAAAGAGAGACAGAAAGAGAGAGGAGAGAGAAGAATGGGTAGAAAAATATAGGTAGATAGGCAGGTGGATAGACAGACAGATAGATAGACAGATATAGATAGATAGATAGATAGATAGATAGATAGATAGATAGATAGATAGATAGATAAACAGATGTTCATGGGCATAAAAAACTCCTACTAAGGGTACTCCCTCTACCAATGCCCAGAATACTTCCTTTGCAACTAAGAGAATTATATGGAGTATTGTATAGAGCACATAGTAGGACCTTAATGAATGCTTGCCAATTGGTTGATTAAAAAGACTTTATAATAGTAAATGTCAGAGTTGAGAGACCTTCAAGGTAGGATGGTCTAGTGGAAACAGCACAGGATTCAGAATCAGGGGACTAGAGTTTAAAGCTTAGCTCTCTTGTTACCAGCTGGGTGATCTTGGTCCAATTACATAATTTCTCTGGGGCTCCGTTTCTTCCTCTGCAAAATGAGAAATTGAAATAAACAATCCCTAAGGTCCCTGCCAGCTCCCAACCCTGGAATCTTCTAGCCCACTCCCCTTCATTCACCAAGGAGGAAACTGAGGCTCACAGAGGTGCCAGGACTTGCCCAAGGTCACGTGGCTGGTTAGAGACAGCTGGCCCTTGAACCCAAGCCTCTGGATTGTTCCAGGAAGTATCTTGTGTTGGCAAAGATACGTTTCATATCCTGACTCTAGGATAAGTCCCTATTCTCTTTCATATTCTCTCTCCTTCCCTACTCAGTCATCCCAGGTCCATGCAGAATTCTCTTCCCACCTTGGTACAGGCCCCTCCAAGGAGTCCTTTCTCTTGCTAATAGTCCATATCCCTTCCAGACCCATTCTTTGGCCAGCGTTACATGCACATTCTCGGCCGGCAGAAGCTCTTTCACGTGGTAAAGTACACAGGCGGCAAAGCCGAGCTGGAATTCTTTGTGGAAGGCCTTCGATTCCCTGACGAGAGTTTCTCAGGCCTGGTCTCCATCCATGTCAGCCTGTTGGAACTTCTGATGGAGGTGAGAGGGCATGAGCCTTGGGAAGGGATGGAAGGTGAGGGAGAGCAGAGGAGAGCTTCCCAGGAGGTGGAAGAAGAAAGGAGAAGGAGGGGGGGAAAAAGGAGAGAGATGGCCAAGGTTAGAAGGTATTCCCAAGGCCAGCTGGGTCATTCCCCAAGATGGCGGAGTCAGGACACTATTGTCCCCATCATTCCCAGGAAAGTGCCAATAGGGGCAGGCTCTTGGGCATGAACTCCCCACCAACTATACCCCAGGCCTCAAATGTGCCATCAATCTCATACTCCAATTCAACTGGGCCTCAAGGCCTTTAGAATCATGCCTAATAACACATTTCATACCTTTAAAGCTTGAAGAGTATCTAGTCCAATCCATCTTACAGATGAGAAAACAGAGGTGAATTAATTTGCCCAAAATCATTTCAGAGAGTAAGTTGGCAGAGTCAGGATTTGAACTCAGGGCCTCTTTTTCTTTTATACCATTGAGGAAAATGGTTGGCCAGAAAGGTTGCCTCTCTGGTCTTCCCGTTTCCATAGCATTTTAAAGCTTACAAAGCCCTTAGCCTCATGTACTTAGAGTTATTATCCTCATTTTAGAGACGAGGCAGTAGATGTGACTTGCCCAGGGTCACACAGCCTAAGAAGTAGCAGAGCCAAGTGTTCTGACTTCAAATCCAGCCCCTTTTCCCACTATCCCATGTCTGCCTACAATACTAGGAAAGCTCAGGTGGGCCAGGTTTTCTGAGCTCTGATACTGGCTAATTTCTAAGGCACCAGCCTAATTCCTGCCCATATGCTCCTAAGTCAGAGTATGTCTAGCTCTCCAACAATACACTCAGTTGTTTGGTGAGCAGCTAACTCTAATAAAACAATGTGTATGTCAAATGTCTACTATGTGCCTTAATGAAAGTGCTCTTGTTTCCATTGGACTTCATAGAATTTTAAAAAATTTTTTATTAATGCCTTTTTTTTCAAATGTCACCTTCCTTTCCCAACATGTTCCTCTGCCCTCTCCAATCCAGATAGCCATCCCTTGTAACAAAGAGTTAAAAAGAAGGGGGGGGGAATTCAAAATTAACCAATATATCAACTATGTACACAATGTTGCACACCCACGGTCCCCCACCTCAGCAAAGAAGAGAGGAAGAACACTTTGTAGTTTGCAAAGCTTGCTGGTTTCCAATAATCCTGGGATGTTGGTAGTATAAGGATTGTTGTCCCCTGTTTTACACTTGAGAAAACTTGGTTACACAGAGTAGAGCTCTGTAGACTGTGTAGAGACTTGAACCCAGGATTGTTCCCTCCTCTTGATCACACTGATTAATGTCATACCCTGTCCACATGGGCTAGTTTACTCTGCATGGAGGAAAACTATTCCCTGACCCCAGATTTCACCCTTAAATGTGGACATGGACTACTCACTGGTTGTGGCCTCTCACCCTGGGTCCCCTCCCCTAACCCTGGCCACCTCAGTTAAGAAGGATTTGGATTGAGGGGAGATAAGGGAGTATAAATAACTCAGAACAGCCTACCTTTACTGCTGGACAACCTGCAATCCAAAGTGAAGACCCTCAACACATTTGGAGGCTCAGGAGAAGAGCCTTAGCCAGAAATTTTTGTACATGGAGCAATCAGTATGCTCTTAGTTGAAGTGGAGAGATTGGACACTGACCCATTGAGGGACAGCCAACGACCCTTGCAATACCATCAAGAAAGTGGAAAGAAGGGGGAAGACTCATTGATTAAGAACTAATGGGTCCCCCCTCAGATCTTTGATTTTAGGTGATTTACCAGAGGGCATGTTAGTTACCACTTTCTCTACTATTCTCTCTCCTAGGGACTTCCCCAGACTCCAATCTACACAGACACAGTGACTTTCCACGTGGCCCCATGGATCATGACCCCAAACACATTGCCTCCAGTGTCTGTTTTAGTATGCAGGTAAGGGACAGACTAGTGTACCTAGCCAGGGCTTGGCTACCTATTAGAATTGTCACAGGTATTCTCTGGATCCACTGAGACCCTCCAAGTCTACCCATAGATGAGAATCAAAAAGGCTTTGAGAGGTCCAGGGGGGAAGCTTTGGTTATCCCTTAGCCTTTGAGAAATAAGCAAAGTCTCCATCTTAATGAAATATCTAAGTACAGCCATGTTGGGGACCTCAACTAAGCTGCTCCTCTTTCCCCACTACAGGAAAGATGGAGATTCCATTCTAATCAACCACACGGTGTTCCTTGAAGGTGGAGAGGTTGACAGGATTGCCCCTTACAGTATTAGTTTACTGCCTCCCAAGGAAGGAGCCATTTCAAACCCATCTTGGCCAAGCCATAGAAAGTATGCTAGAAGAAGATGAATGAAAAATAACAGAATTTATACTCAGAGAAGACAGGAACCACCTCCCTTTATTAGTATTCTCAGTTCCTAGCCCAGTGCCTGGCACATCATAGGAACTTAATGCTTATGGATTGATAATGGATGCCTTGGGCTGAAAAAGATACTTCTGGATGTTGTTGGGTCCATCACCCTCACTCTAGAATGGTCCCAGTAAACAGATCTTAGTCTTCAAAATCTGACTGCACTTGGAGGTGATGAGGTCACCCCTTCAGGGGGTATTTTTCCCATTCTTTTAGTTGCTCATTATGCTAACACCAAGTGTGTGTCTGGGTTTAAGAGACTGCTTGAGTTATACCCTTGAATGTCTCTCCCCTAAAGACCTACTAGAGGGAGCTGTGAGCACCCACGCTGATCCAGCTCTTTCTCCCCCCCTGCCCCCCACCTCAAGTGAGCCTTGGTCCCTCATTGCTCTTCTCTCTCCCCCTCTCCCTGCTCTCTTGCACTGCTCAGCATGAAGGACAATTACCTGTTCCTCAAGGAGATAAAGAACCTGATAGAGAAAACTGACTGCAAGCTTAAGATCTGTTTCCAGTACATGAACCGTGGGGATCGTTGGATCCAGGTGAGAAGGCTCCAGTGGGGACAGAGTCAGAAACATAGGGGGCATTCTTAATGACTAACTAGCATTGATATAGCAAAGAGCTCTAAGACTGGCAAAGCACTTTACATATGTTACCTTATCTGATCCTCACAACAACCTTGGTAAGATAGACTATATTCTTTTTTGGGGGGAGGGGTGTTAGATGGGGTTTTTTTATATTCATTTTTTTTAAAGTTCCAAGTTCTCTCCCCCCAGCCCCTCCCCAAACTATTGAGAAAAATAAAACAGGTAGATGCTATTCTTATCCTGATTTTTCAAATGGATAAACTGAGGCAAAAAGAAGTTAAGTGACTTGCCCAAGGTCATACAGCTTGTAAGTGTCAGAGGTAGGATTCAAATCCAGGTCTTTCTGACTCTCCATTCACTACGACACTTGGTTGGATATGGGTGGGATTGGATGTCCACTAAAGTCCTTTTCAACTCTAACATTCTTTAAGTCTGTGAAATGACCACCAGAGTCTGACTGATGATAACTGACCCAGTGCCCACACCTCAATTTAATAATTTTTCAATACTTCCTTGGACCTGTGACCTCATTGATCCATATCCTCCTTCCAATGGAAACAGATCACAACCTTTCCAGGCTTCTCAACTCATGCCTTTTCATGCATCTTGGTCATTTTTCCCCTGAATCAGAAGTGATGTCATTGATAGAGGGAGTCTTTGGTGAAGTCTTCTCTATGTATAGAGATTGGCACTTGCTCTGTGGCATGCAGTCTTTGAGAGACATCCGTATCTTACCCAAACCCTCCCATGCATCCTTCATAGGAGATTGGGTCTGCCCAACACCCTGGAGGTTTTCTCTAGTTCTTTTCATATTACACAGGTCTCAGTGAAGCTCAAAGGCTGTCCATCTGTTAGGTCTAACCACAGGACCAGCCCACCTCCTTGGCCACTCCTACATTTCTTAGACACTAGTGTCTTTTACACCAGCGGGGTCAAACTCAAATGGAAGGGGATCCCAACGGGCCGCACATTGACCAAGAAAATGACCCATGACCATTATCTATATTGTACTGTATTTTTATTTATTTTGTGAAACACGTCCCAATGACATTTTAATCTGATTCATCCTGCACTTGGGAGTTTTGCCCATGAGTTTTACATGTTTTTAAATAGCGCTCCTTGTTAATCAGTCAGCCAATCAACGAGTATCTGTTAAATACATAGACTATGTGCCAGACCCATCCTTGAACCCCTGGCAGACTCCCAGGACACCACTGGAGGAGTAGGAGACCTTCGCAAAGTACAGATCAATTCAACAAATGTGGAATAAGATGGAGATGGGGGTGGGAAGGAGGAATCCATTCTAGGCATGGGGCCTAACTTCATATTACAAGTTTTTACAGCTCTAGGCTCCAAAGTTTGCACAATGCTAGAAAAGTCTTTGAGAGTCAGGGCCCCAGTGAGACACTGGAGGAGGGGTTCAGAAGAGGCTGTGGGTGTAAAAAAATACCAACACAGATGGTAGAACCAAGTGCCATGGAGTTATTACAGAAGCATCACACACACACACACACATACATACACATACACACACATACACCACACAGTCACACACACTCACACACACACACACACACATACACCATACATACACACACACACTCATATACACCACATACACACACACATATACACATACACACACATACACCACACAGTCACACACACATACACATACACACACATACAGCACACAGTCACACACACTCACACATACATACACCATACATACACACATACACACTCATATACACCACATACACACACACACATTCATATACACCACATACACACACACATATACACACACACACATATACACCACACATACACACACACACTCATATACACCACATACACACATACGCACACACACACTTCCCCCCAGGGAAATTCGGCAGTCAACTAACATTTAATAAGTGGTTACTATGTGCCAGCCACTGTGATGAACGCTGAGGATACAGAGTAGTAACTATAATAACGAGTAGCAGTCTTTATCTAGAACCAGTTTTATATCTAGCACTTTAAGTTTTGCAAAGCGCTTTACAAATATTATCTTATCTGATCCTCACAACAACCCTGGGAGGTAGGCATTATTATTATCTCTATTTTACAGATGGGGAAATTGAGGCCCACAGAGGTTGAGTGACTTGCCCTGGGTCACACAGCTAGTAAGCATCTGAGGCTGGCTGTGAAATCTTCTTGACTACATACGCAGAACTGTGCCTAGCTACAAAAGCACAGTACCTGCCCTCAGGGATCTCACAGTCTAACAGAGGAGACAATGTACAAACGGCTATGTGCATACAAGTTACGTGCACAGCAGATAGAGAGTAATCTCAGCAAGGAGCACTAGCAGGAGACCTGGGAGATTAGGAAAGGCTTCTTGCAGAAGGTGAAATTTGAGCCAAATCTTGAAGGAAGCCAGGGGGGTCAGTAGCCGGCCAAGGGGAGAAGGAAGAACATTGCAGGTGTGAGGATACTGTCTGTATTAAAGTCAGTCTCGGTAAGGTCAGACAACCCCAGCAAAACAGACAAATACCCAAGATATTTCTATGGGCATAGAGGAGTTCCTAAGAGTTCAATTCAACTGAATAATCTTTTCCCAAAAAATTTTTGTTTTGACATCCCCTCCATTTCCTAGTACATCCTCCTACCCAGGGATTGCTCCTTGTAAGAAAGGATTTTTTTAAAAGAGGGGAAGAAATCAGTTCCACAAAAATAACCGCTGTACCATATCAACTGAGTCTGATAGTGTTTGCATTGTTGCCCATAGCACTACTCCCAGCCCCTCAATTCTCTGCAAAGAAGGGGAAGACATCTTTTCTTAGCCCTTCTTCAGAGCCAAGCTTGGTCACAATCACTCAGCTATACAAACCTTTCTTACACATTTATGATATTCAAGTCCTAAGCTCAGTGGTTAGATCGATAGACATAACACAGACCCTGTTCTCAAGGAGCTTACAACTCTAAGGGATTGTAAAGAGGTGGAGGGAAAAGGCAACAGAAATAGTAAACACAAAATGGAGTAATGGCTAGGGTGCTTAGGTTGGTATTAGGAAGACCTGAGTTCAAATCCTGCTTCAGGTACTTGCTCATTGTGTAACCTTGGGCAAGTCACATAATCTCTCTCAGCCTCAATTTCTTCATCTATAAAATGGGACTAATAGATGGCACCTACTTCCCAGGGTTATCGTGTGGCTCAAATAAGATAATATATGTGATATACTTTAGAAACCCTAAAGTGCCATAGACACATTTGCAATCGTTGTTGTTAGTAAATAAATATGATACAGGAGAGAAAGAGAGCAGGAAAGGTCTAAGCAAAAAATGAATGAATATTTGGGGAAGGAGAAAATCACTTCCCAGGGGTTGAGGAGGAAAGGGTGATATCAGGGGGCTTCCTGTAGGGAATGGCATCTTAGCTGGGTCCATTCCAGGTATGAGAAAAATGCCTTGAGCAGACACAGAGATGAGAGAGATTAAGAGTTAAAGAAAGGTGCTGGAGGGTGAGGGGGGGCGTCATATGGTATGAGTTTGGACCAGGAGGAGGTATGTTACTGAACAAAGGTTTGCTGACAATCTGATGGATGGACGGACGGGTGGATGAATGGGTAGATGGATGGATGGGTGGGTGGGTGAGCCAAGGTGGCCCTTGCCTCTAGCCTCAAGAGCAGGGTAGCCCAGGCTGAGGTCCGGCTGCCCCCTAGCGGTGGCTGCCCTGGCACGGGCAAACCCAGACGGGCAGAATCCGCACGGACCAGCGCCCCTTCTCCCCAGGCTTTTCTGATCGCTCACTTTGCTTCCTCAACTAGGATGAAGTTGAGTTTGGCTACATCGATGCTCCCCACAAAGGCTTTCCTGTGGTCCTAGATTCCCCTCGAGACGGGAACCTGAAAGACTTCCCAGTGAAGGAACTCCTGGTAAGACTCCCTGGGGCTTCTGCCCTGTGTTTAAAGCTAGGAGGCTCACCATTCAACCACAAAGCCAAGGGGAAGGCATTGATGGCAAAGAACAAATGCACTGGGAGACAGAAGACCTGGATGAGAAGCGGCCAGGTGAGGGAGGCAGCTTAGTGGAAAAGGCCCTGGAAGATGCGGTGTGAATTCCAACCTGCTACCTAGCTACTGTATGGCCTTGGTCAAGTCTGGGTCTCCTTATCTGTCAAACAAAGTAATGCAACTAGATGATGTCCAAAGTCCTTCCCAGCTCTGAGACCTCACGTGATCTCTCAGTCTCCTTCCTTTTATGTGATCAACTGGTCAAGTAGAAGGAACACTCACCAGGCTTGGCATCAGGACATCTGGGCCACCACTAACTTACTGTGTGACCCTAGGAAATTATTTGACCTCCCTGGACGTCATCTGTGGCCTCTGTAAAATGAGGATTCCATGTTTTCTAGGGTGTCTTCCAGCTCTGACATTCTATGATCTCTACAGACTTGGTGTTGGAGACCTGAACACTGTAAGGTCGGGGAAGGACCCCCAGGAAATGGGACTTTGGGATTGATTGGACCAGAGCTGGCTTCCTTTCCGGCTCTAAATCTATAACCCTATGTCAGGTCTACATGTGAATCCTGTCTCATGCCAGCTGTTCCCCATGTGGCACTGGGCAAGTCACTCCATTTCTCTCAGCCTCAGTTTCCCCACTTGTAAAATGAATAAATGATATTTAGAGGCTCTTCTTTGGTCAGGTGGGTGGCACAGTGGATAGAGCTCTAGGACCAGAGTCAGGAAGACCTGAGTTTAAATCTGGCCTCAGGCCCTTACTGGCTGTGTGACCCTGGGCAAGCCATTTAACCCCTGTCTGCCTCGGTTTCCTCAACTGTAAAATGAAGATAATAATAGTGCATATCATGAGTGGCTGTTGCGCAGATCAAATGAGATAATATTTATAAAGCACTTTGCACATAGCAGGCTCTTAATAAGTGTTTGTTTCCTTCCTAGCTATGTGACTGTGGGCAAGTCACTTCCCTTCTCTACACTCATTTGCCTCTTCTGTAAAATGGGTACCACTCTCACAGGTAGATTGAAGTGACTTGCCTGAGTTATACTCCTAGTGAGTATCTGAGACAGGATTTGAACCCAGGCTTTCCTGCCTCGGCTCAGCACTGTCCACCACACCATCCCCCCTCAGGTGTGAGCACCAAGCGCCCAGTAGTGATGGAGCCCAGGGGACTTCGCAGTTCTCCTCCTCCATCTCCATTTGTTTCTAGCGTCCTTAGCACAGTCCAAGGCCAAGAGCTCAGGGCTGGCATCGTTGCCAGGCACTCGGGCCAGGTCGATTTTGTCAGCTTTATGCTTCGCGCCTGGTCCCCTCGTTGTAAAACTCCCCAGCTGCCCCAGACATGCGGGGCCCCACCTCATCCACTTGGCCAATGAGGATTTTCAAGGCGTGAACAAGCTAAGCTCTAGTTATTTGTCTGTGCCCCCGGGGAGTGACTCTTCATGGAGAATTACAACGTGACTGTGAGAGGCCAAATTCCTCCCCACCCCCTTCCCTGCCTTTTGTCACTGGGGTCCCACAATGGCAGAAGGACCTGGAACTTGGCCTCAGGCCCAATTACGGCTTTGTTTAAATGAGAGGTCCCAAGTGCAATCAACACTAGACGGGTAGAGTTACAATAGAGGCAACCTTAGAGATCATAGAATTAGAGCTTTCAAGGTCTTCTAGTCTAACCCCCTTCATTTTACAGATGAGGAGACCGAGTTCTTGATCAAGGGACTTGCCCGAGGTCACATAGGCAGCAAGGGGAAAGAGCTAGAATCCAAAACCAGATTCTTTGACTCCAGATCCAGCATTTAAAACTGAGGCCCAGAAAAGTGGCTCGTGGAATTGAGAGCTGGAGTGGACCATAGAGATTGTTTAGTGAAATATACCCATTTTACAGATGAAGAAATTAAGGCCCAGAGAGTTTAAGCCACTCACCCAAGAACATGCAAGTAGTAGGTAGCAGAGCTTGGATTTGCGCCCCGGTCTTAGCAGATTACACGCTCAGGTTGAGTCATCAGAGTGATTTGGCAGCCAAGAAAGAAAATGAAATCTTATATTTCATTAAGAGCAAAGTGTCCGGAAGACCAGAGTGGATGGTCCCAACGTTCTCTGCCAGGGTCAGACTACATCAGAATGACTGTATTCAATTCTGGACATCACATTTTAGCAAGGATGTTAATGAGCTGGAGAGTATTCATCACAATTAAATCAGGGTTGTCAAGGTCCTTGGGTTCATACTGTATTGTAATAATACCTTATTAGCCCATATAATATATGCTTATATAACATACCCAGTGGAAGGAACTGGGAATGTTTAATCTGAGAAGAGAAGGATTGGGATTCTGGATAGAAAACACTGACATTTGGGTGAGTCTCGTTCAATCGTTTTCGGTTGTGGCTGACCCTTCGTGACCCCATTTGGAATTTTATTGGCAGAGATACTGGAGTGGTTTACCATTTCCTTTTCTAGTCCATTTTACAGATGAGGAAACTGAGGCAAACAGGGTTAAGTGACTTGCTCAGGGTCACACAACCACATTTGAACTCAGGAAGATGAGTCTTCCTAACTCCAGGCGGGGCTCTCTGTGCACTATGGTGCCACCTCGCTGCCCAGGGTGAGTCTCACTCTGAGAGCTCGCACTCTCCAGAAAGGGAATCCATCAGTCAGCAAGCATATATTAAGCGCATAAGGCTGCTGGACCCACAGCGCCCCTCCCCCACCCATCCTTTTCCAGTAGATCCACTCAGTGGAATAACTCACAGTAGGAGCGGAGAGCAAAATCTAGACACTTTGCTCCCCCATCTTGTGGTCCTTTACTCCTCTTACTCCTTTGAGGACCACATGGATGATGCACTTCTCTCCCCAAGAGGCCTTCTCTGCCCATAAATTCCCCTTCTCTCAATGGAAGGTCAGATTCTGGGACTCTGGGACTTGGGGTTGCTAGAGATGCCCCTGCTATGGCAGGTACTGACCAGAAACTCCCCCTTCCTCTGGCACAAGACTGAGTTCTGGGAATCTCAAGATGCCTCCAGAAGCTCCTCCTATCATTAGATTATGAGCTCCTTGAGGGCAGGCAATTCTTGTGCCTCTTTTTATACTCCCAGCACTTAGCTGGAGGGAGCATAGTAGGTACTTAATAAATGTTTATTGTTTTTGATTGAAGTTCAGGACTTCTCACCACTCAGACCATGCAGTTCTCTCCCCTCACCCACATGCTTGAAAGCTCTCTTTCATAGGCCACGCAAAGGGGTAGCTCTTCAAACCTGCACACCCACACGAGTCCAAGCCAGTATTCAACCAGCAGGAGTAAAACTCATTCTGTAAGAGACACCAAGGGGCATATCTAGACCCTCCGGAGGAACATACAAAAACCTTGACAAAGACTTCCCATTCTATAAGGTCATCGAGATGATCAGGGAACTTCCTTGATCAAAGATCCCCCCACCCCAACCACCCCATATTGCTATTTGCAGAGCTCAGACAGGAAAGACAGCTTAGACTTTTTCTGCCTGGCCCCAAAGATCAGAACTGGAAGAAATGGATAGAAGTTTCAAAGAATCCGCCTTGGGCTCAAAGTAATCAATTAATTCATCAGCAAATATTTCTTAGAACTATGGAAGTCGAATCGCTATCACTTATTTTTACCTTCTGTTGAGTTTTGTTTCACCTTTCTGATGGTTCCTCCTATTGGTTTTAACTTTTACTTACAACTTCACTAATGAGAAAATAGGTTTCATGGGTATGTAAATGTAAAGCCTATATCAGATTGTGCGCTGTCTTGGGGAGGGTGGGGGAGGAAGGGGGAGAAAAATTTTCAACTCAAAAGCATATGGAAGTGATTGTTGATAAATCAAAATAAATTAATAAAATTTAAAAAAACCAAACATTTCTGAAATGCCTCATAGGCACTATACTAAGCATTGGAGATACAAAGACAAAAATGAAAATTTTCTGAACACTTAGAAGTACACAAAAATGGAAGGGGCCATCTTAAGAAGTAATGAGTTAAGTGAGGAGTGATAGGAGAATCGATTTTAAATTGGAAGGGACCTTAGAGACCAGTTCCCTAATTTTAGAAATGATGAAACTGAGGCAGACAGAGGTTAAATGACTTGTCCAGGGTCACACAGCTAGTAAGTGTCTAAGGCAGGATTCAAATTCATATTTTTCTGTCTCCAAGTCCAAGGACCCATCCACTACCCAAAGACTGATTGCCCACTTGTGAGCTGTGTTGTAAAGGGGATTCCTAGTCTGTTGGTGGTTGGCCTAGATGGTTCCTGAGTTCCCTTTCACATCTGGGATTCTATATCCCTTTTATCCTGACTCCAACTCTAGCGTTCTTTCCACCATTCTATGCTGCCTCGTGATTGTGCGTTTGACTTTAGAATATAGAACATTCAAGACCAGGAGTTGTTACACTCTTTTGTGTCCTAGACAGAGCCCTTTGGCAGTGTCTGGGGAAGCCCATGAACCCCTCCTCAGAAGAATGTTTTGAAATCTATAAAATAAAATACATAGGATACAAGAGAAATCAATTCTATTGAAATGGCCTTTAAACAGTCATTTAAAAATGTTTTTTTTAAAGTCCTCAGACCCCAGGTTAAGAACCCCTGTTATTAAGGACACACACTTAGCGTCACACTCATCTCATCTGTGCCCAAACCCCAAGTCCTGCCCTGCACATCTCTTCTATTAGTGGGCTGGGACTCAACTGGATGGTGGAGATGAGCAGATCTCCACAAATATATCCAGCACATAACTGAGAATTGAGTGTTGCACTGAATTGGGCAAACACGTGGCCAGGGGAATGATGGGTGTGCTCAGTAGAGGAGGAATGCTAACAAAGTATGCTGTCCATGCAGGGCCCAGATTACGGCTATGTCACCCGGGAGCCTCTCTTCGAGCAAGTCACCAGCCTGGATTCCTTCGGGAACCTGGAGGTCAGCCCTCCTGTGACGGTGAACGGCAAGGAGTACCCCCTGGGCAGGATCCTCATTGGCAGCAGCTTCCCCCTGTAAGAGAGCCTTTCCGCCAGCAAAGCTCCCAGCGGCGCCAGCTTTACACGTAGGCAAAGCGGGTTGTAGCCTACATGGCATGATTCAAGGATCACTGGGGAGGTTCCTCTGACCCACCCCCAAAATATCCACTGATGCTGCATGAAATTGCACCATCCATTGCATACGCTTTGCCTTCTCTTCCTGGGGGTCTACACTTTCAACCATTCAGCAAGCATTTATAAAGTACTTACTGTGGGCCAGGCATTGGGGATACAATGAAGAAGCAAAAACAGCCCCTGCTCTCATGGAGCTTATATTCTAAATGCAGATTTCCTAGGATAGGTGCTCCTTATTAGCCCATATGATATATGCTTATATAACATACCATATAATAACATTATTATCCTACATAAAATATGCTTATATAACACAATACAGGATTATCCCATATAATACATACATATATAATATACCATATAATAATATATTACTACCCCATATAATATATGCTTATCTATATACCATATAATAATATATTATTATTCTGTATAATATATGCTTATATAATATGCCATATAATAACATATTATTACCCCACATAAAATATGCTTATATAACACAATACAGGATTATCCCATATAATACATACATATATAATATACCATATAATAATATATTACTACCCCATATAATATATGCTTATCTATATACCATATAATAATATATTATTATTCTGTATAATATATGCTTATATAATATGCCATATAATAACATATTATTACCCCATTTAACGTATGCTTATATAATATACCACATCATAATATAGCATTATCCCATTTGTAATATATTATGTAACAATTATAATATGCAATATGATTCTGTAATCCATAATAATATGTTATTATCCTATATAGTATATGCTTATATAATATACCATATAATAATATATTATTATCCCAGAAAACAGTTAAAGTGACTTGCCTGTGAGGTATCAGCCTTCTTTTATAGTTGAGGAAACTGAGGCAGACAGAGGTTAAATGACTTGTCCAGGGTCACACAGCTAGTAACTGTCTCAGGCAGGATTCCTGATGCACTCCATTCACTGTGGCACCTAACTGCCTCTAACTCTCTTATTAAGATAATTATTAAATCTCTAAATACCTCGTCCTTCTCAAGGCAAAGAAAAGTCCTTAATCTTTGAAATGATATCTGACAAACTTAAGGAGAAAGACCATTCAATATGCCCAAATTGTTCCTGTAGGGCAGTAAAATCACTGGGAAAACACTATGCTGAGAGCTACCCAGCAAGTGTTCCCAAGAAACAATGGAACAAGAATTGATTAGTCTACAAGTATTTGGTGCCTGTGCCTACAGTCAGGAAGAAGTGTTCAGAATCTACCTGAGACATTTGCTAGCCATCTGATCTTAGGCAAGTCATTTTAATTGCTGTCTGCCTCAGTTTCCTCAACTGTAAAATGGGGATAATAATAGCACCCACCTCCCAGGATTATTGTGAAGATCAAAGGAGATAAAGCATCTTGCAAACCTTAAGTGCCACATAAATGCTGACTGTCATTATTAGGTGATTTTTCCATGCTCATACAAATGATAAATAACAGAGACAGGGTGTAAAATCAGGTCTTTCTGGCTTCAAATCCAGCCTTCGGTCCTCTACCTATATCAATGGTATCAAGCTCAAGGCCTGAACTAGATATTAAAATGTACTTGGGAAATGTTCAACATAATAAGTGAAAATACAACACAACATAGATAATGTTAAATTGTAGTTTTCTAAGTCAATATGTGGCTGCAGGTCTGCTAAAGGCCAGGGGCCAGAGCTAAGTATGATTCTGATTTTGACCCTAGCTATGTTAACAACACAGCTATTTACTAGTTTGTGTGACCCTGAGCAAGTCACTTGTCTCCTCTAGGCCTCAGTTTCTCCATCTGTAAAATGGGGGAGGGGCTATACACATATGACCTGCCTCATAGGATTATTGGGAATAAAGTACTTTATAAACTTTAAAAGTACTCCAGGGTGTCCCAAAAATCTTGTTAATTATTATTTAAACTATTGAAGATTAAAACTGAGACTTTTAGGAGGGCAGCTAGGTGGGGTAGTGGTGGGCATGGAGTCAGAAAAACAAGCATTCAAAGTTGGCCTCAGACATTTACTAGCTGTGTGATCCTGGGCAAGTCACTTCACCCTGTTTGCCTCAGTTTCCTCTTCTGTAAAATGAACTGGAGAAGGCCATGGCAAACCACTCCAGTATCTTTGCCAAGAAAACCCCAAATGGGGTCACGAAGAGTCAGACCAGACCAAGCAACAAGACTTTGGGGACACCTTGTATATACGTCTGAGCTGTTACCAGATGAGAATTTTCCAGGCTCACTGAAGGGGAAGGGGCAAGGAGGGAAGCCGTCCTGAAGCCTTTCTCCTCCTTTCTCGACCCTCCCACCCCCAGGTCTGGCGGGAGAAGGATGACAAAGGTCGTGAGAGATTTCCTGCAGGCTCAGGTAGTGCAGCCCCCTGTGGAGCTATATTCTGATTGGCTGATCGTTGGCCACGTGGATGAATTTATGACCTTCGTTCCCGTCCCGGGCAAAAAAAAGGTGAGCGGGGACTAGAGGGTTAGCGGAGCCCAGGGACCGCCCTGGTGGTCTTTGCCAGCATCTGACAGTGTCCCCAGGAAGGAAAGGGGAGGGGACGAAGCAGGAGGTGGTAGGCTGGGGTCCTGTGTGTGTTGCTGGTAGAAGCTTGGTGAAGGCCGGATGTCTCCGTGAACAGGGTCACACCAACCTGGGAGCAGCAGTGAGAGGCAGTGGGTTGCGGTAGACAGCGCACTGACCTTAAACCCACTAAATCTGCCACTTACGCCTGTGTGACCTTGAGCAGCTTCGCTCTTCAGGGTCTCAGTTTCTTAATCTGGTAAAAGGGGAGGGGAGGGACTATTCCAAGACCCCTTCCGGCTCTCGACCGATGATCCCTAGATTTTAAATTTGTACTCAAAAGACCTGGGTTCTCGGTCCCGGTTGTAACACTTCCTAAGTGCGTGATTATGGGTTAAACCTCTTAATCCTTTTAAGTCTCAGTTTCCTCATCTGCAACATGGGAATAATTATACACTGCGTACCTCAACAGAATCTTACAAGGAAAGCGTTTTATAGCCCTCAAAGCAATATCCATCATGTGAGCTCACATCTTAGATCTGAGGCTGAAAGAAACCTTGGCCACCCAGATGGTCCAACCCCTTCATTTTTATAAATGAAGAAACTAAGCCCCAGGAGGTGGGCACAAGCTCACAAGGGCCATATGCATCAAGGGTAGGATTTGAACTCAGGTCATCTGCTTCCAGAGCCAGTGTTCTTATCAATGTTATCATGAAATATTTGCTTAGTGACTTGAGTCAGGATCAATCCTATTGGACTTTTTTTGGAGACAGGGAGTAGCCAAGACCTAATGGTCTAAAAATTCCACCTGGCCTTCTGGGAATTGGCACACCAGTTTGAGGGAGGGTCTTCTACCCTGCCCACAAATGCTGTATAATCTGAGCCCAAACCCTGCATTGCTCTCATAGGAAAAAACGGTAACAAATACTCTTTCCCCAAAGGAGGCCTTTTGAAGAACTCAATCTTACCTTGCACTGGGAGGCAACAGAGTTAGGCTATATGCCAGCTACTTCAGCGCTCCCCCTAGAAAGGCTGATTCTCCTCTCTCTGCCTCACTTTTTCTTCTCTGTGAAAAGGGGAGAATCATCCCTGCTGGCTCCTACTACCTAGAGATATGTTGAGGACCGAGAGGGGATCTGGAGGTTGCTTTGAGATCCTTAGGGAAAGGCATCATATTATGATGTTCTTTGTAACCCTCATCCTTTGTCTCCTCTCCCCCTGCTCCATGGCACTCCTCGGGGGTCCTCTCCAGGAATTCCGGTTGCTCATGGCCAGTACCTCTGCCTGCTACAAGCTCTTCCGGGAAAAGCAGAAAGAAGGGCATGGAGAAGCTATCTTGTTCAAAGGTAAGTGACCTCGGAGCCCTGGAGGGAGGACGGGAGCCTATGCTAGGGGATGAGAGGGAGCATTTGGGTGGAATTTCTAAGTGTCTCCAGGCCTGGTGCTCTAGGCACTATGGCGCCCTCTAGCCATCAAGTCTCTTACAAAGGTAGGCATGTACACATTTATAAGCATAGCTATGCCGCCATATCAGCTTGTAGTACCATTGAGGGGGAAAAAAAAAAACATACTTTTGGGGGTCGAAGGGCCTGGATCCCAAAGCCATTAGGGGATCTCTCCTGTATTTGAGTGCACCAGAAAGGCTGCAGAAATGTGATGTAGAGGGACAGCTACATACCTCCAAGGGAAAGATCACCCCAACTCCCTCCCTCACTTCACAGGTGGGGGAACTGGGACCCAGGGAGGTGAATGCCTCTCAATGTAGTCAACAGCAGTGGTGATGATGATGATGATGATGATGATGGTGATGATGATGGTGAAGATGATGATGATGGTGATGATGGTGATGATGATGATGGTGATGATGGTGATGATAATGATGGTGATGATGGTGATGATGATGGTGATGATGATGATGGTGAAGATGATGATGATGGTGATGATGGTGATGATGATGATGGTGATGATGATGATGGTGATGATGATGATGATGATGATGATGGTGAAGATGATGATGATGGTGATGATGGTGATGATGATGATGGTGATGATGATGGTGATGATGATGGTGAAGATGATGATGATGGTGATGATGGTGATGATGATGATGGTGATGATGATGGTGATGATGATGGTGAAGATGATGATGATGGTGATGATGGTGATGATGATGATGGTGATGATGATGATGGTGATGATGATGATGGTGATGATGATGGTGAAGATGATGATGATGGTGATGATGGTGATGATGATGATGGTGATGGTGATGATGGTGATGATGATGGTGATGATGATGGTGATGATGATGATGGTGATGATGGTGATGATGATGGTGATGATGATGATGGTGATGATGATGGCGAAGATGATGATGATGGTGATGATGGTGATGATGATGGTGATGATGGTGATGATGGTGGTGATGATGGTGATGATGGTGGTGATGATGGTGATGATGGTGGTGATGATGGTGATGATGGTGGTGATGATGATGATGGTGATGATGATGATGGTGATGATAATGATGGTGATGATGGTGATGATAATGATGGTGATGATGGTGATGATGATGGTGATGATGATGATGGTGAAGATGATGATGATGGTGATGATGGTGATGATGATGATGGTGATGATGATGGTGATGATGATGGTGATGATGATGATGGTGATGATGATGATGATGGTGATGATGATGGTGAAGATGATGATGATGGTGATGATGGTGATGATGATGATGGTGATGATAGTGATGATGATGATGATGATGATGGTGATGATGGTGATGATGATGATGATGGTGATAATGATGATGGTGATGATGGTGATGATAATGATGGTGATGATGGTGATGATGATGGTGATGATGATTTTAATCTGGAATTTTTAAGTACTGTAAGCTATGTACTTTACATATGTTATCTCATTTACTCCTCAAAAGAACCCTGTGAGGTAGGAGCAATTATTGTTCCCATTTTATAGATCAGGGAACTGAGGCTAAAAGAGGCTACTGACTTGGCCAGGGCCACACAGCCTAGTAAGTCCTTGAGGCAGGATTCAAACTCAGGTCTTCCTGACTTTTAGTCTAGTACTCTACTCGCTTAGCTGTTAAGATCACAGGGAACAAGACAGGTATGCCAGATTGTGCCAGGAACCTCAGGCTGTGACTGTCCTGTCCTTTCCCCTCTGCAGGCTTGGGGGGCATGAGCAACAAAAGGATTACCATCAATAAGATCCTGTCCAATGAGAGTCTGGTGCAGCAGAACCTGTACGCCCAGGTAAGGGCAGAGCCTGGAGCCTGGCAGAGCAGGAGGGGCACTGCCCTGCTGGATGCCTCTCAGGGCCAGCCCCAGATCCTATCGCTTTATCCCTCAGGAATGGCATGGGGAATATTACATTATATTATATTATATTATATTATATTATATTATATTATATTATATTATATTATATTATATTATCATATCATATCATATCATATCATATTATATTATATCATATTATTATATATTATATTACATTAAATTTTTTTTTTAATTTGCACACATGAAGTCAGTAAAAATAGAATAAAAAGGGAAACCCAAATAGTGAGAGAGTGGGGCAGGGAATACCTACATCACTGATAAAAGTCTGAGATCCAGTGTATGTAGGGAATGAACACAAGTATAGCAGCCATTCCCCAATAGAGAGGTGCTCAAAAGATATGAATTGTTATCCAAAGGGGGGACTTAGGGACAAAGAAGCCCCTGTGGCCACAGAGACTGTAAGTGCTCAGAGCTTTGCCCAAATCATGCCAGCTTATCAGTAAAGTGAAAGTGAAGAGTGACACAGGCATGCCTTGGTCCATGGAGGTCTGGGAACATATTGGAAGCAGGCAGGGGTACCCTTGTAAGAGGCACCATATATCACAGGGGAGCCAAAGTCACTCTTAGGGCTGTGCCAGGGACCATATCCTGATGTGAGAAACAGTTAAAGGGAACCCTACTTAGTCAGGGTGTACCAAAAGTCTTAGTGCAGCTTCAGACTATCAGACCTCATGTTCATTTATATACCCTTGCATGGATGGTACAGAGTTTCCCAAGTTAACTTTGTTATGACTACCTTAAGACTCTCATTTCTTTTTTTAAAATTCGATTTTATTTTTATTCTCGTTTCTTTTAAGAATTTATTGATTCATTTTGATGTTGCATGATAAATACTTCCCAATAAACACAATCCCTCAAACAATCACAACAGTATATTCCCTGATGAAACAGTTAGCATATTGATTATTAACAGAGGAGGAGAGAAAGAGACAGAAACAAAGAGAGAGAGACACACACACAGACAGAGAGAGAGATGGAGACAGAAACAGACAGACAGAGACACAGAGGGAAACAGAGAGATTTAAAGCTGCCATTTCTCGGTTTGGTCTTCTCTCTTCCTTCTCATTCCCAGCTGAGAGTGAAGGCGAATCAGAAAGAAGAGAATCATTAAAGACAATACCAGGGGCCCAGTGGCCCTTAAACTATTATTCAGGGATGCTTGTTAGAGGTTATATCATGGAAAGGTTGTGATCACAGAATCCTAAATCCAAAGCCAGAAGGGGCCAATGAGTCCAACCCCTTCATTTTATAGATTAGGAAACTCAGTCCCAAAGAGGGGACATGGCTCTAGAAATACTCAGAGATGAGTACTGCCAGTACCCAACGTTGTCAAAGTATATTTTAACCCTGCTTTTGCCACCCCCCCCCAATTTCTCCTCAGCGCTGTCTGGATTGGAACCGGGACATCCTGAAAAAGGAACTAGGTTTGACAGAGAAAGATATCATTGACCTCCCAGCTCTGTTCAAGTTGAATGAGGAAGGCCAAGCTATGGCTTATTTCCCCAACATGGTAAGCAGCTCAATCCCCTTCCTCATCACCCCCTCCAAACCACTAGAAATGTGAAGACATCGATTGGAATTCATAGATTATATAGCCAGACAGAACTTCTGATGCCATCTAGCCCAAACCCCCTCATTTTACAGATGAAAAAACTGAGGCCAGAAATGTTAGATGACTTAGCCAAGGTCACACCTTTCATAAGTGGTGGAGCTGAGATTCAAACCCAGGTCTTCTAATTTCAGTGCAGGACTCCCACTCAGTCAACACAATGGGTCAGATGTGATCCCAAGACAGATGTATTCCTCCACCCCTATCTAGATCACAGCTTGGCTCCTTGGGTGATCCAAGTTTCTAGTTAGCCCAGCTTACTAATAAGTCGCTGTGTTATAGTAACTTACTAGTGGCTAGCAAGTCACTAGCTAGCCTTTACATAACATAGATACATACATATATATATATATATATATATATATATATACACATATATATATATATGTATATATATATTAAGGTTTGCAAAATTCTTTGCATATCTTAACTCATTTGCTGCTCCCAACCACCCTGTGGTTATTATTATTATTATTAACATCATTAGTAATAATAATACCCATTGATATAACAATCTTATTATAGTATTACTAATACTCATTGATATTATTAATGCCCATTTTACAAGTGAGGAAACTGAGGCTGAGAGAGGTTAAGCAACTTGCCCAAGGCCAGCTCGTAAGCATCTGAGGCAGGATTAAAACTCATGTCTTCCTAACTCCAGATCTAGTGTTATCCACTGTGCCCCTTAGCTGCTTCTCAACCTCTATTGGCCTTACCTTCCTCCCAGAGATGATAGCAACTGCATATCCTTCTGTGAGTATCTGAGAATAAGAGTAACTCCCCCTTTTAGAGAACTTTAATAAAAATAATATTTTATTAAAATAATTTAAATTATTTATTAAAATAATTTTTAAAAATAATAAACACTTTCCTCACAACCCTGTTAGCGAAGTGCCCAAATACTGTTCCATTTTACAGATGAAGACACTGAGGTTGAAAGACAAAGTCAATGTATTTTTTTATTTAAAAGCATCATGAAAAGAGGAGTTTAAGTACCTACTCTGTGCCAGGCACTGTGCTAAGGGCTGGAAACAGGCAAAAAGACACTCTGAAGGAACTCTTGAACTAATGAAAAATGAAAACAACTATGTACAAAAAAGATACAGATACAGATAGATTGTGTCATGTGTGTGTGTGTGTGTGTGTGTGTGTGTGTGTGTGTGTGTGTGTGTGTGTAGAGAGAGAGATACAGAGATACAAAGAGAGATTAGAAATATAGAGAGATACAGATAGATTGTGTCTATGTGTATATATAGAGAGAGAGAGATAGTGACACTATATAGTCATGTATATGTATAATATTTTGTATATATTATTACTATGTAATTATATATGATATATTATTACATATGCATATAATTGGAGAGCATAAAAAGAGATACAACACGAGCATTAAGGGGCTTCAGGAAAAGCTTCCAGTAAAAAGTGGGATTTTATCTGGGACTTGAAGCCAGGGAAGCAGGGAGCCAAAGATGAGGGGGAAGCATTCCAGGTATGAGGGGCAGCCAGAGAAAATGCCCAGAGACAGGAGATGGAGTGTTGATTGTGAGGAACAGCTAGGTGACCAGCATCACTGGTAGGGCAGAGAGGACGGTATAAACTATAAGATGCCTGGGAAGGTGGGCGTTGGAGGGAGAGGTTGTGAAGGGCTTTAAAAGCCAGAGAATTTCATGTGTGATAACAGAGGTGATCAGAAGCCACTAGATACAGGGGTAAGGAACCTGAGGCCTCGAGGCCCATGTGGCCTTCTAGGCCCTTGGGTGCGGCCTTTTGACTGAGTCCAGGTCTTACAGAAGTAATCTTTTATTAAGGGGATTTTATTCTTCGAAATTTGGATTCAGTCAAAGGACCACACTTGAGGACCTAGAGAGCCACATGTGGCCTTGCCTCAGGTTCCCCAGCCCTGTGATTGCACTGGGGAGTAGTGAGATGAACTGAGCTGCCTTTGAGCTAAAATATACCCATAACATCGAAATGCCCCTTTATTACTCCCCTGATCCCAGACCTCTCAGGCCCCTGTACCTGCATGGGAGATTCTGATACTTGAATCATGGTACTTGGCTAGGAAATGCTGGTTTTGTTAAATAGTCTCTTCTCTCCCCTTTTGAATCATGGCTTTCTAGTAATTTTTGTCACGGGTGATATGATCAGACCTGCACTTTAGGAAGATCAATAACAGTTCACATTCCTGTATTATTTTAGGCCTTCCTTTCCTCACAACCCTGTGATGTAGGTAGCATATTATCCTCAGATCACAGATGAACTTAAAAAAGGAGGCATTCTTGCAAAGATGTAAGTATAAGATGGGACGAGTGAATTTACTCATCACAGAGAGGTTAAGTAATTTGTCCAAGGTCACAAAGCCAGTTAATGGCAGAGTTCAGTACTGCACACCTTTATTGAAGATCCTGATCAATGGAGGCTCTAAAATACAGGGCAGGAGCTCAAGTCTACAAGCAACTTCAGAGGACATCCAAGCCCCCCTGTCCATGAAAGGAAGGGAGCCCCTTCCTCGGTGTCCCTAACAAATGGTCCTCCTGCCCACCTCTGAAGACCTCCCATCCTCTAGCCGTCCCTTCTATCCTACCTCAGCCCTATGCTCCTAGACCCCATTCCATCTCCCATGGCCCTGTGCCCTCACTGCTCAGCCCAGCATGGCACTCTGGTAGTGAAGTTGACCATGATGACAACTAACATTTATATGGTGCTTTAATCTTTGCAATACCCTTCATAAACATCATCTCATTTTCTCCTCACAACAACGCTGGGTGCTATTATTATCCATATTTTACAGATCAGGAAAGTGAGGCAGACACAGGTTAAGTGACTTGTTCAGGATCACACAAACAGTAAATGTCTAAATCTGTATTTGAACTCAGGTCTTCCTTTAGGCATAAGTCTATCTAGATTGGCCTCTTGAAGCAGTTGTCCACTGTAGAAGAAAGAAAGGGGAGGGATTTGTTTCTGCCCTCTCCTGTTCTGTGGTGCCAATTCTCACCCTTGCCATTCAATGTCTGATAGAGGACAAAGGGTTCATGCCCATGGCCTGGAATGGAACCTATTTCATTGATCAATGAGGCATTACAGTAGCAATGAAAAGGGAACTGCTTCTGGAGTCTGAGGAGCTGGGTTCTCTTTGTAGAATGAGGGGTTGGAGTAGGTGCCTCTGAGGTGCTGTCCAGTCCTGAAGCTATGATTCTGCAGTCGTTATCAAGGGGAAGATGAGGGGAAGGGAAGGCACAATGACCTGGCCTCCAGAGGAAGAGCCTCCACCTGTCTGGGGGACAAGCCTCCATCTTGTCCCCGCCGCCATATTCTCGACCTCTCAGATTGGCCCAGAAATCTCACCTATCCATTTGTCAAGTGCTTTGCCAAGCTTACAATGCCATAGAAATGCTAACTATCTTTATTATCATGCCCTCTGTTTTCTGGATCACCTGAGCAAACAACGATAACTCCACTTTCTTTGGTGCTTGGAGACTCATAAAGTGCTTGTCTCACAACGACCCTTTGAGAGAGATGATGGGCGTTGGATTTTTAGTCAGAAGGCCTGGATTCAAATCCTGACTTTTGCCACCTGTGTGACCTTAGGCAAGACATTGAACTTTTTCTGGATCACTGTGAAATCAGTGGTCTGGATTAGATGACCCCTCCTTATTCTAAAATCCCACTATTTCCTATTGCCAGCCTAGGCTTACAGATGAAGAAACTGAGGTTTAGAAAAAATTGACATCTCTGATCCCATATCTATTAAGTTTAAGACACAGTGGATAGAGCACCAGCCCCGGAGTTAGGAGGACCTGAGTTCAAATCTGGCCTCAGACACTTACTAGCTATATGATCCTGGGCAAGTCACTCAACCCCAATTGCCTTCCAAAAAAAAAAAATTAAGAATTGGAACTACTAGCCAGATCTCCAAGTCTAGCCCTTATTCCACTACTGACATCCACCTTTGCTCCTTCCCTACCCTGTCAGGGTACACCAGGGCCCTCAGACAAACCTTCTCCCCCTACATACAACAAACATGTGCCTCCCTCTCCCCTACAGGTGAACATGATTGTGCTTGACAAGGACCTGGGGGTCCCCAAGCCCTTTGGGCCCCTGATCGAGGAGCAGTGCTGCCTGGAAGCTCATGTGTGCTCACTTCTGCAGCCCTTGGGTTTCACCTGTACCTTCATCGATGACATTTCCTCCTATCACAAATTAATGGGCGAGGTCCACTGTGGTACCAATGTCTGTCGGAAGCCCTTTGCCTTCAAGTGGTGGCATGTGGTGCCTTGACCCCGTGGGCAGGCTTGGCATCCCCCTCCCTCATTCCCTCCACCTTCCCCATACATCCTCCCATAATCCCAGGTCCAACTCCTTCTTGGAAATTGCTTTTACTTCCTTCGGCCGGGTCCATTTTGATGTCTGCTTGGGGTTGGGGTGGAGTCTGGAAAAAAAAACTATATGTGACATGTGTTGCCCCTCATCCCTAAGGTTCTAGAGTACACTCAAATTCACATGCAACAGTCTCTAGGTCTCCCAAACCACGTTCTCTCCTTGGGCAAATGGCAAGGGGAGGTCAATTCCTTTGTGGGCCAGAGAAGGTCTGAGGGACACCAGACTCCATCTGACTGACCCACAAGCCCCATAGAGGATTCGCCTCTCAAAGGGATGACGCCTCTAGCTTCTCTGTGGATGTCCTGAGCCACTTCACTCCTCGCCAGCCCTCCTCATACTTGTCCCTGGCTTTTTCCTCAGAGGGTCCAGGCACATCCGTTAAAACCTATCCGTCCTGCCCCGCATCAGACATCAGCTGCAGTGGGTTACCTTCCCAGCCCCAGACTAACTCCAGGCCTAGGGGACTACATGGATTGGGAGGGAGGGGGATGGAATAGACACAAGACATCCTGTGCCCTGCTTGGGGATATCAACCCAAGAATCCATTGCCATTTCTAATTAGGCTGATTGCCCCTCTGTGCCTTTTTTCTGGAGTGAGGCCAAGGTTAGGACCAGGGGGTGGGGAAGGTCCTTCTCTATCCTCAAAGCTTCCATGGTTCCCACCATGTTGGGTCCAACCCCGGAGATGGGATCAAACAGCTAGTATATTTTTCAGTTTCTGGTAACAGCTTTCCAAGTCAAGAGGATTAAATGGCCAATAGCATTTCTCCCCAGAGAAGGAAAAGATCCAGCATTCTTATCACTACATTTAAGTAATAGAAATATCACTCAGAGTTTGTGACTGGGGCTCCAGAGGATGTGAGTTCAAATCCTACGTTTGACACCTACCATCTGGGTGACCTTGGGCACATCACTTAATGATCTCCCTGGATGAAGTGGTTGGAGCAGCTGGCGTCTGAAGGCTCTTCCAACTCGGCGTCTGAAGGCTCTTCCAACTCAGCGTCTAGCATCCTATGATCTCCAATGCTATCCTACTCCCCCACCCTTCTGGGAAGCTTATTAAGAGAGAGATCCTAGGCTGTTTCCCCAAGGGTCCAGGGATAGTACTTGGGACCTTTTCTTAAAACACTTCCTACAGGATGGTCCGCTTTCTCCAAGAGGTCTGCCTGGGGTGGGATTCCTGCCCCACTTTCTTACAGACACTGTTTTACAGAAATTCATTGGCATTCTTCCCCAGCTCCATACCCTGCTCCCACCCCATCAAGAAATGAAAAGTATTCAACTAAATGAGGCACTCACAACCTCGAAGTATAGATAGGACAACTTCCCATGCAACCCTGGCCTTTCCCTTCTCCCTTCTCTCCCTTTCCTATATTCCATTAGCTCCACCCAACAAGTATTTATTAAAGACCTACTATGTGCAAGGCAATGCATAGCATACAAAATGCAAAAACAAAAACAGTCCTGCCTTCAGGGAGCTTGCATTCTCCTGGAATGTAGCCTCCCTGGGGCTCTTTCTCTGAGGCTACAGAAACTAAGCGACTTTATTCACTTTGGTCATCCAGACCAGATCCTCCTATGGCATCTTGCACTGGAGGGAGCTTAAGCAATTCCCTGGAGTGAAATTAATTCCTAGGACTGAAGGAGCCACCATAGAAAGTGTGTTGATTGTCCACTGGCCCCGCATGACCCCACTTAGTTAAAAGCTGAACTGATTATAATGGCATTGATAGTTTGCTAAATGGAATTTCTCTGCCCTAAGGTGTTAGTGTTTCTTGGGCACTGGTTGAATAGGGTTTGGTAGAGTACTCATTCAGAAAAGTCCTTTCCCCCTTTTATTCTGTTTCCCCTTCTCCTTAAGAATAAATTGGCAGCCAAATCCCTCTTCACCAACAGAAGCATAACATGGGCTGGGTAATCAGAGCTCTGCTCAAGGGTGGAAAAACTTAGAGGGTGCCAACAACCCTCCAGAGTCCATCTCTGCCCACTCCATCCCCTTCATTGTGGTCTTGTCCCCAGGTGGGCTTCCTCTCCTTTGAGTAGCTTAGATGCATCTCGGTGGTCCAGGGCTCCACTCCTGAGAGCTCTCAAAAGAGCCTGCCGAGCCCCACTTTCCCCTGACTTTTACCACTTATCCCAGGTACAAATCACAGCTGCTGCTCCAGGCTTGGAACAAGCTAATCAGCCCATGTCTCACTGTTAGCCTGCAGAACCCAGCCCCAGACCAGTTTGATGGTACATAGCCATGCTTCATACCTCTGCACAATGACTGTTTGGAGCCACCTCTCAAAATTCCATTTTAAACAGCATTTCTATGAATAGAGGTGCCTTGGAGGGGTGAGTTGGTTTGCCACTGGGCTGAATATATCACTGCTCCATTTTGGAGATGGAAAAAACACCAACACAGTTCAAGAATGGTTACACATTTGAATGTCAAGGAGGAAGGGATATTTGATTGACTCATGTGGTCCTTATTCTCTGATTCATCACACACATTTCTGATTCCCAATAGCATCATTGAAAGTGTTACTGGGCAACACTTCAGGATGCCCAGTGCCTGCATGGTCCCCTGTGAGTCAAAGTGTTCAGTGGCCTGGAGTGGCCTGCAGGGGAATCCCTCATAAACTACCTTCCCTTGACAACATAATGTAATACAAGAAAAAAATCAGATCTGGAGCTCAGGGTTCCAATCCACCTTTGTTCCTTATCCCTGTGACTCTAGACAAATGTCAGCCTCTGGAGACAGCGTGGCACAAAGGGAATCAAAGGGCCTGGGTTCAAATGCTACTTGCCCCTTGCTACCTCTATGATCTAGGCTGAGTCAGTTCCCCCTTCTCTCTAAAATGAGGAAGTTTGACTCAATGACCTCCAATTTCCCTCTTAAAAATTAAGAAGCCAGACTAGTCACAGGGGCTCTTAACCTTTTTGCAGGTCCTGGACTCCTCTGGCAGTCAGTCTGGTGAAGCCTATGTGTCCCTTCTTAGAAGAGTATTTTAAGTGCATAAAATAAAATACAGAGGAATTACAAAGAACACCAATAAGATTGAAATATAGTTACCAAAGTACTTTTTTAAAATAGGTTCACAGACCCCAGATGAAGAGCCCCCCAGACTGAGTGGTCTCCAAGTTCCCAACTCCAGAAATAAATCCTACAATGTTTTGTGAAGTTTTTTGGCCTGGGCCAGCATCACCACACAGACAAAGCCCTGAGAGCTGTCAGAAATGATCATCTTTGCTATGGGGATGATGGGCCTGAATGCCTTTGGGATATTGAGATGTAAGCTCTCCCATGATGCCTCATCTATTTCTGTCCCCGCATGCCAAGTGCTTATTATAGGCTTTTCTTTTTTTTTTTTTTTTTTGGAGAGAGCTTCAAGATGCCACGCCATGTGTGTGGGTTTGTGTGTTTTTGTTTTGTGTGTTTTTGACTCCCAGCTTGATGAGATATTCACTCCTACGCATGGGATGGATTTTTCTAAGGCTTTTTTGCAACCTGTGAAACTCAAAGTCAGTCACATTACTGACCCAGTATCAGGGGGACCTCTTACCCATTTATCTGGGAGCAGTGACCCCCAGTGAATCCTGAGGCTACCAGGGTTAGACAGCCTAGGAGGTCAGTGAAACACCTGAGTGGCCCAGATAGGAGGCTGATCAGTGTCCAGATTTAGACCTACAAAGATATGTTGGTGGTGGGCCTTAAAAACACTTCCTGTTCCTGTGTTACCTTGGGAAGTTTTGTGTTTTATTGTAGTTGTGAGCAGGACAAAAAGCAATTTAACTCTTTTCAGGAAGCCTCTGGATGATGAAAAATATCTGGGGGGGAAGTCTACCGTGGCTCATGGTGCCTCTGACTAAACAAATAAAATCAAAGTAATGCAATGCAAGAAAACGTAATGAGTGAAATTCATTCTTTCTTTTTAGCTATCTTTACTAATGCCTTTTGTTTTTAGGTCACAGGTTTGGTTTGGGGGTTTTTTTGATTTTTTTTACACAGTTGGGGTAAGTGACTTGCTCAGGGTCACACAGCTAGTGTCAAGTGTTTGGTCTGAGGCCGGATTTGAACTCAGGTCCTCCTGACTTCAGGGCTGGTGCTCTATCCACTGTGCTAGCTAGCTGTCCATTAGGTCACGTTTCTGAATATACCATCCCACCCCTACATAACCCCTACTCCACCCCAAATTGAAATATCCCTTGTAACAAAGAAAAAGTTATGCAAAACTAATCAAAACAGTGACTGTGTCTGTGTATGCAGCATTCTATATCCATAGACCCCCACCTCTCTCCTGAGAAAAGATGACACTCATTCTTTGGAAGTTTCCTTTGTAGAGACAGAAATACCACAGACCAGGCAGCCCCAGGACCTAGGCAAGGGGGGGGGGGGCACGTGCTGGTATGATAAGAAGACCCCTTTGTAAAGTATGATTTAGGGGTCTAGAATTCAACAGTCCAAGAATTTACTATGTGCAAGACATTATGCTCGCAGCACAAAGATATAAAATGAAAAGCACTGTCTTCCCTCAAGGAACTTATATACTGGCTGGGAAAGGGATAGGGAAGGGGGTTGAAGGGATACAACATATATGTGGATAAGTATATGACAATTTGTGGAGAGAGACTTAGTAATTCAGGGATCAAGGAAAGATGTCAGAATATGTCGTGTGCATATGAAATCCCTGGCATCCCTCCCTCTGAGCTCACATGGATCAGATCAGATCTTGAGGGTAACTGACTCATAATATTCTGAGAAAATTTCTGAATACAGGTCTCAGTTTCCATAGATGTGAGTGAAAAAAGAAGGCCTTTAGATCCCATATAAGCACTCAAGGTAATATGCATTTATAGGGTACTGGACAGCTTTTATTTAACCCCACAAATTATGTGGAAACACCAGGGATTCCCAGTAGCCCATAAGCAACACAGAAACCATGTTAAGAGACTTACAACAAATTATATACCAACACATTTCTCATTTAATGACGTTTATCATTTTAATACAGGGTCCTAAAATCCTCTAGATTTTAGTATCGTCGTATGGTTTGAAATTCCCTCAGAAAACAACTGAGCTGGGGGAT